TATATTATGATGCAAATATCACCATATTATAGAACTGTGCAATAAAAAAGTTATTATTCGCAACGCTAGCAAGAATAAGTGATTTTTATGATGCAGATTGTTGTCTGCATCAAATAATTCAAGTTGCAACGTACTGTCATTTCCTTTTTCAAATTCAATTCGTATTTTGTACTTGACATTTTATTTTCAATATATTTTCTGTTTAGATATAGTTTCTCGACAATTCTGTAGAACGGGAAATAATTTGAGCAGCCAAAGCCGTTAAAAATAAAAATAGAATCAGTAAACCAAAGAATATCAATTAATTCTATTTAATAATAATTATTATTATTGAAAAGTTTATAAAACAAAACTAATTACAAAATATTATCACCCAGTCTTTGAAATAATATAATCCCTGGAATCTCAACACTACTTGTACAGGGTGTCCCACTAAAAACAGTTGTCGGATGTATCTCGGAAATTATTACTCTAAGGGCTTGCGGAAAAAAATATTTATAACTAAAGAGACTATGACAAATTGATGGAAATCAGTTTTAAGTTTGTAGAACGGCCGCTAGAGGGCACAAATGCTATGGAAAACAAGAAAATGGATTTTTTCGAAGTTTTGCCTAGATAAGGTGTACTATAAATAATAGATTCATAATCTTCAGTAAATTTTGGATCTTTTTTGTTAGAACCATTTTCGCCTATCTGCTAAAATAAAGTGGTGCTCTACGACTAATAGTTTCCGAGATACAGCCGAGAGCTATTCTTAGTGGAACACCCTGTACTTAGGTACAGGGTGGGCCAAATTGGACCCTTTTAAAAGGAAACACCCTTTTCTATAGAAGATAGACGAAAACTAATATCGGTGTCTGGAGCTCAATTTTTATCAAAAACATGATGGTAAAAACAGTATATCGATATCTGTTACCGTTTCGGAGTTACAGGTTGCTTTTCAAAAATGTGCATTTTTAACAAATCGCTGTAACTTTTTTGCTATGGAAAATTTTGTATTTTTATGAAAAAATTTCCAAAGCACCTTTTTACGTAGAATTTTATGGTTTAAGTATATTTTTTTTAAATTGTGCTTGCACCCTGTCGTCAGCATTCAAATAATCAGCCTATTTCGAATTAGAAATAGACAATTTACGAAAAAGATAGTTTCGTTTTCCCTTGTAACTTATACTATACCTAGATATACATATTTCGTTTAGTTTTTTTTCACATGGTATAAAGTAAAAAACGTACTTAAAGATTGGCAAGACACCATAATAAAAATACCTGTTAAAAACCGTTTCTTTAATAAAAATTATTGGTTTTATTTAAAAAAACATCATATAGCTTTTCTAAAGCTGGAGTAAAGCAATTACTCTTCATAGATTCAATTAAGAAGAAACATGTTTCGATAGCTTTTCAATTTTTTTTCTTCTTTTCGAACCATTCATTTATTTCTGGATATCGGTCAATATTTTATCTCTCCCTATTCTCCACCTACCGTCACCGACAGAAAAAGCAATTTATTTTCTATTGTGGACTGTGCAACCAAGCTGATAGCAATGCATGATGCTATACAGGATGTCCCAGGCTGAGCGTGCATTAGAAGTTTCTAGAGAACTACCATATGTAGATCGGAGATTTCTTGCACATCACTGTTTCACAACGAGATCTATCGACTAAAAATATTTTCAATATGGCGGCACTTCCGGAAATACCGGAAGTTGACAGCAACTTTCTTATTTTAAATGGGTACCTAAGGGTACCTCCATTTTTTATTACATACCATAGAGAAAGTAATAAAAAGTTACATACTTAAATTCTCGGCAATTTTTTATGAATTTTGATATCAAACACTCTACAGGGTGGTCCGAACTATATTCCGGAAACTTTGGCAGCATATTATGCAGATGAAAATAAGTAAAAAAGTTCGTATAAATGTATGTTCTAAAATGCCGAGTTTCAGAGATACAGGGTGTACAAGTTTCATTTTTATTTCGATTTTTCCAAATAATTTCTGAAGTCACGTTAATATTTGCATGAAAATTGGTGTCTGGGAGTTTTTTGACATGAGAAATTTGGATTTTGATGTCAATATGACTCCTACTTGTAGAGGGCACCACCTACATATTTTTAACTGGTTCGAAGAGTAATAACTTTTCGTCCGTACCTGTATAAAACTAATGAGTAAAAAAATATACATTTACGATGTTTTCTATGTAAAAAAGGTCAGTTGGTAAAAATCGGCACGAGTCATGGTTATCGAGATATTCGGAATAGAAATTATCAATACCTGTCATCATTGACATTCATTCAACATGTTGACTAAATAGTTATTAGACTGAAATCATAAATTTGAAATGTTTTTGTGCTAAAAGTTCATCAGAAACTGTTTTATTGTCATTTTTTGCAGAAAAATTTATTGATTAATTTGAAAAAATAAAAATTTCCCAAATTTACTATTTCAGTCAAATAACTATCTACTCAACGTGTTTATTTTTTGTCAATAATGACATGTATTGACTATTTCCATTCTAAATATCTTGAGAACGGTTGCTCGTATTGATTTTTACCAAGAGACATTTTTTACGTAAAAAGTCACTAAAATGTATATTTTTGCACTCTGTAGTTTTATACAGGTACAGGCGAAAAGTTATTACTCTTCAAAACACAACTTTACTCGTTAAAGCACATGTAGGTGGCGCTTCCTACAAATAGGAGTCATATTGACATCAAAATTAGATTTCTCATGTCAAAAAACTCCCAGGACACCAATTTTTATCCAAATATTGACGTTACTTTAGAAATTATTTGGAAAAAAATCAAAATAAAAATGAAACTTCTACACCCTGTATCTCCGAAACTAAGCATTTTAGGCATAGACAAGGAAAGAGAGGGGACGGGTAACACGCATATTCTCCCGTGATCGGTTAATGAGGCCAAAATTCGATCGGCGGCCATACTATGGTGACAAGATTTCGAGGTGACACCGAGCGAATTTTTTTGTTTTTTGTGACAACTGTTTTGTTTTAAATTTATAAACTGTGTGGTTTAGTATGATGAGATGTTCAGCGTATGGCTGCAAAGGCTGAAGCGAGAAAAAAATGACTGGAATCGCATTTTTTATTAATATATTAAAAATATATCATTTTGACCTGTCACGCGTTTATACAAGACCCTGTATATGAAAAAATATATTGTGCAAATAGTTCACATTTAACCCTACAACTTTTGTCTAGAACATTTTTTTTCTAATGAGAAAAACAAAGAAGTTAAAGAGAGGCACATTATAAATGAACACCCTGTACTTGATTGTAATTTTTAGTGGAATTCTTTAACAAACTCGTTTAACTTAAAAAAGTGTTTTTATTTATTTTATTTTTATGCTGTTAGTTGTAAGCCTCTATTAATAAAATAATATTTCATACCCCAAATTTGAGACAAATTATTAATAAATAAAAAGTCTGCCATTTGGATCCGCCATTAATTTTTACCAACAAAAAAAGCATATTAAAAAGTAGAACATATTTTACTAATCATAAATCTGAAAACCGCATGTTCATATCTGCTTTGGTTCGAAAGTTATGAATTTATTCCTTTTACAAATGCACTAAAAGATTTGACTAGCTTCACTGCAGCAACAGTGAAATATTGTTAAAAATGGCTAAACGGGCAAGAACGGGCAAATGATCTTGACTTGACATTATGTCGAAGAGCGATTTATAAAGTTTTATTTAAAATGAGAATTAAATAGTACTTTGGATTACTTTGTATTTCCACCTGTGGCAATTGGCAAAATTATTAAAAATATAAGTAATTATATATCAGTCCAAAAAGGCAAGAGTATAAACTAAGCAACCACTATAATAATTAAAATCTATAATGATCTGAAGCTAACTTACCTCTATTATATTCAACCATCACAATATGTTTTATTTTAAAAATAACTTCACTCAAAAATTAGTGTCAAGTTTGTTTCGCCTGTACATGCAAAATAGACGCTCGCTTGGGTACAAAATGTTGCTAACACTTTCAATTGTTTATGGTATGCTCAAAGCCTACTACGAAATTATTTCGACATGTATCGAGCAGGATAAAGTTTATAACTTTAATTCCGTAGGTAATAAAGTCTTGAAAAAAAGCTTAAAAAATAGGAGGTTCTGTCTCGCCGTATCGCCTTCGCCCACTGTGCGGCATCTACAGATTAACCTCGGCAAAATTATCACCGATTGTCATTCCCAAACCGTCTTTGACGCCGTTTTTTTATCATGCGGTATTACATAATAGCATATCATCTCATTTAAAATCGCTTCAAAATCGATTTCAAATAAAACATTAATTAAAACTAGTTACCTATTTGTTATTTCAGTGCCTACTGTGATTAGTGTTAATTGTTCATGCTAAAATATGGTAGCTTTTTGCAATATCGCATTTGCATTCCTGAACTGAAGTTATGTAATTTATTCAAATCGTAACCAATTTGCAAAGATGCTAAAATCTAAAAAAAAATACAACCGCAATATATGTAAACACATAATATGTATATTATTCAATACCTAACTGGTAAATAATACTTGTACACCTTGCAAAAACATTCGCCATACCTAGGCTTATGATTATAATTTCATAGACCTATTATAAATAATTCCAGGATCATTATTACTAATCCATAATCATTAATTTTAAAAATATGCATAAGTAGGTACATAAACATTTTAACAAAAATAGAACATACTGGTTTTTAAGAGGAACCCCTTTAAATAACTTTAAATATAATAAACAGAATTTTATAAATAATACCACAATAGTCTCAACAAACAATAGAACTCAGAAATTCATAAAAAAAATGTGAAAAAGGTGTGGCCTTTGCTGAAGATTCTCGCTGCGTTTATCGAGCGTTATCATGTAAAAAAAATACCGATGAAGCTTATCAAAAGATAAGATTACGTTCGTCTGGCACTGCTTCGATACGTTTTATAATATAAATAAATATCGAGATCATTCCCCTCAAATGCAACTTGTACTTACCTCGTCGTTTAGCTGTCCCTTTGAGGCCATTATCACCGATTCGTTAATGAAAATAGGGGTACGTAACCCTTGTTCTACCACCGGCGCTTCAAAAACACTCTTGTAATCAATCACAACATTTATAGTTAGTTTTAAAACATTTATCACTTATTGAATCATACAAAAAAAATGATTTTTATACAAAAAACTATTTAAAAAATAGTCTTGTTTAAATGAATTGTCAAAAGTCAAAAGTCAACGAATTGAATTTGACAATTGACGTTAGTTTAGGAATTTTAATTTTATAACTAGCCAGTGAAACGCGCGGTTTTTTCTTGTTTGTATAAAAAGTGATGTTACATCGGTGGTTCTTGCCTTTTAATTTTTAAATTATACATTTTTCAGTTTTAATTTGTTGTGTTTTTTGTTTGTTATTAATAATGCCACCTAAAAAGAAAGCAGCTAATGGGTACAAATTTGCAGAACCATTACCGAAAGGCATAATCTTAGAAGACATTGGCAAAAAGAAGTGGAGTTTGGGAGTATCAATTGGTAAAGGTGGATTTGGGGAAATATATAGTGCCCAAGAAGAAGGAGCTAAAGGAAATAAGTACCCTTATGTCGTGAAAATTGTAAATTTATTATTAAACGTCACAGATCTGTTTAACAAAATCACGTTTATGTTTTAGGAACCCCATGAAAATGGGCCTTTATTTGTTGAAGTCAATTTTTATATTAGAAATGCCAAACTTGCTGATAGTATGTCATCGTTAATGCTTACGTTGCCTTACAGTAATTCATGTTTAAATTTTAGTTGAAAGTTTCAAGAGAGACAACGGTCTTAAAATGCTTGGTATGCCCGTATATTACGGATCAGGATCTCTCGAATACAAAGGTGAAAAATACAGGTTTCTAGTAATGGATAAGTTTGGATCAGATCTGCATAAACTGTATCTCGAAAATGGCAAAGAATTCCCCACAGACACAGTATTTAAACTGGGCATACAGATAGTAAAATTAATCATACATTTTTAATACAATTATTTTAATATTTTATTTTTTAGATTGATGTGTTAAAATATATGCATGAGAAGGGTTATGTCCATGCTGATATTAAAGCAGCAAATTTGCTTATGGGATTATCAAAAGAAACTCAAAACAAACAAGTATATTTAGTAGATTTTGGTCTTGCTACAAAATATAACTTGGACAAGGAATTTAAACCTAATCCTAAAAAAGCCCATGATGGAACTATAGAGTACTTAAGTAGAGATGCCCATCAAGGAGGTACTACATCTAATAGAGATTTACATGTAATTTTGTCTGTTTCTTCTAATTGTAGTCCAAACACGCAGAGGCGATTTAGAAATTCTAGCTTATAATATGATCCATTGGTTGGGCTGTAAACTCCCTTGGGAAGATAACTTAAAGGATCCCAAAAAGGTACAAAATAGTAAGGAGGAAAGCATGTCAACAGTCGATAAAATGGTGAAATCGTGTTTTGGATCAAAATCTGCTCCGAGTATTTAAAAAATAATTCCTACACAAATGCAGTCTTTATTTTCTTTGTATTTCTAGAAGGAATCGTGAATTTCCTGAAATATTTAAAAACCCTAAAATTCGACACAGAGCCTGATTATGAAAAAATTCAAAAAATATTCACAGAAGGTATTAAAGAAGCTAGCGGTACTCTGACATCACCTCTACAGTTTTCAGTAAAGAAAACTCCTTTAAGGAAGGTGAAGACGCCAGTTCCTAACAGCAGGAGTAATAAAACTAAAGAAAAAGTGACAAAACATACAGAGGAAAGCACTCCGAAAGCTGCTAAAACAGGAAAACCCAAGGATTTAGTTACAGTGATTCAGGATGACAGTGATAATGAAGAGGTAAGTAAAGTTAACAGAAAGACCAGTTAAAGTTTGTTCAAGGAGAGGATACATTGACAGTGACAGTTGTTATCTTATTGACAAACTCTAAGTTTCATTATATCTTAATTCTTTCAGGGTGACTATCAAAGTGATAGTGATGCCACAGTTGTTCCAAAGCCAAAAACAAAGCTGAAAAAGGAGAACTTCAAAACAAAGAATATGAGAGCTAAAAAGATTGAAGTAAATAACAGCGATCACGAATCTGACAGCGAACAAGAGGAGCCTCCGCCTAAAAAGCTGAGGCAAGGGAAAAAGGATGACATTCCAGAAAAGAAAAGGAACCTTCGGGCTAGAAAAATCGAGGTTAATGACAGCGATCGTGATTCTGACAGCGAACAAGAGCCTCCAGTCAAAAAGCCTGTCGTTGCTAAGAAAACTACTACTAAATCAAAGAAGGCAAAGAAAAATGATACAGAAATGGTAAGGTTTCATGTGACTTCCAACTGAGATACTGTACGATAAAAAAAAAACGGTGTCGTAGTAGCCTATCAAATGAGAATTCGCGATAACTTCTGTGGGACAGTGTCTGGACCTCTATTCTCTTTTTTTTTCGTTTAATTATTTATTTTGACAGGTTTTATATCAATTTATGATGAATACAGAGATTGTTTTTTCAAAGGCCTCTGGCGGCGCGGTTTTTTTTTATCAAAATAAGGGTTAAAAAATTATAAAAACTTTTTTTTATGTAGATTCACAGTGATTCAGAAAATGTAACGGTAAGGAAGAAAGTAAACACTAATAGAAATCAAGCAACGAATTTAAAAAAAGGGCAAGCAATGTCGCTGAATGATATTAACAGTGCTGTAGGGTTAACGGATGCGATGAAGGAAGTCATGCGTAAACGGCTCAATAAAGGTAATTTTGTAAACTTACTGAAACTAATATTTTGATTTATTTGTTAAAATTAAGATAAAATTGAAAAAAAAATATGGTAAAACACCAAGTTCGCATATAATCATAGTATAAGGAAACTAGTAGCTTTACTCCTTGTCAAATCCTTTGTTCTTTTTCTGCCACTTTATATGACCTTGTTCCCGCGTTCCGTGACCACTGAGGGAGCTGTATAGTCGTGGTCTGTAACTAGAACTAGGCAAAGTATAGTCGTGGCACACGCCATAGTTTCACAGAGATGTATTTAGGAAAATATGAGTTTACAATAAAATAAAATAAAAAAAATTGATCATCATGTAAAAATTTGCTTGAAAACAGAATATTTTCACATTTCGTGTAAGTAACAATTTCTGTATCTGAAAACCTGCTGATATGAAGAAATGCGGAAAAAATATATAATGATTTATTTTTATATTATCTATTTCAAAGATTTTCTACAACTTTTTTTAATTTAAAACAAGTTTAAACATTAATGTGTTTGTTTTGTAGTAATATATTGGTTAGGCGATTTTCATTGGATAACTCATACATTGTGAACAACACATTGTACTAAATAATAAAATAACATATTTAAACTTCAATAATAGCTAATAAACATTACAGAAATTTCAAAAGAGAAAAGAAGCAAGAACAATGAGAAATAGCATCACTACTTTCTCATGTAATAAAAGAATATTTTTTTAGTTATTGTTACCGAGTCCCGAAGGTACCGAAAGAACCGGGAATTAATAATTTCGAGTCCCGGTTCCTTGATATCTCAAAGAACCGGGAATTTCCGGTTCTGAACCCTAGTTACCTTATTATCAACAAATTATGTTTTTTGACTAAAAACTAAAAAAAATTCCAGATTTTTTTTTCAAGAAAAAATTGCACAGAAAAATCCTCATATTTCTGGGGTCAAAATATACTACTCCCATTAGCGTAACTAGCAATTTATCCTGGGGTGGACCTGGGGGGGCCTGGGGTTGATCCCAGGGGGGCTCAGGGCTTTTGTTTTTTTTTAAAAATGAAAAATAATTTTATAAAACACATTTTTTGAATAAAATTTTACATGAATTTCTCTATCAATAAATGTCATAGACTTGGTTATCAAACTGTGTTCCCGTAGATTACTTAAATACCTACAAATATTCTAAAAAAAATAAAAATTAATACATTTTTTGAACACAATAAAATAATATTAACTAAACAAAACTAGAAAACGTAATTTTTACTACATCACAAGCAAATAAAAATTAATACATAGCCAAGAGTCATAATTCAGGATTTCTCTGGGGGGTGCCCAGCAGTATCTGGGCACCCCTATAGTTACGCCGATGACTACTCCTAAAAATATTTGCACTTATTTAAGACTCACCCTGTATAGGGCGATTCACGGTTATGGTACGTCACAAATGACTCTCAAAAAAAACTCAAAGCACAATTTTTTGAATTATTACTACAACCTTTGAATAAGAAGACTAAGGAAGGAGCATATCAAAAATCTTAGGTACACCGCGATGGGCCTCAAATATGGCCGACTTAAATTCCGGTTTATCAGTGTCGTTCTAATTTTATTTAAAAAATGTAAAACTATGATGTAGGGTAGACGTGGGGTAGACTCAATAATTTGTTGTTTTATTTTACGTTATAAATAAATGTTGGTAGTTATTAAAATTGTTATAAAAATATATAATTCTAATAAAAATAGATAAGTTATAATAAGTATTTATTAACACAAACATCCGATACGCTACTGAAGCAAGTAAGTAAAATTAACGTATCTAAATTCTTTGACATCTAATCTTTGACAAGTAATAAATAAAAGCTAAAATGCAAGAAAAATATATAATTTAGTTAATTTAAGTGAATTTCATAAATGATCGGTTTACTACATGTATGTATATTATATAGTCACTTACTAGCGAAAAGTTGTTCCATTATTTCACTCAATTTTTGCCGAGATCTACCGCACGCTACACAACCAACTAGTTTAGAGTCTTTTTCGATAAATCGCGATAGTGTCACTGTTAATTTAAGTTCTGCCACAATTTCCATCTAGATTTACTACCTTTATACAACTATCAGTAGTAGAATAAATAATAAATAACATAAAATAAGCTCCGTAAAGACTGACAAATCCACAAAATTTCAAATCAAATTCAAATGTGTCAAATGAATCGTCAAACAGAACTGTCAGGGATCCCCACCCTAGAGAGCTTTTATGGTGGCTTTTTCGCCCACCATGCATGAATACATGGATATCATTATGCTCCTTCCTTAGTCTTCTTATTCAAAGACTACAACCAATAGCAGCATACGGTAAGGCACTCATTTTTTGTCAATCCGTCTCTGTGCTGGGACGCAACGCTCGAACCTCGCAAGTCGACGGACGGAACTCAAATGCTCTGCAATCTGCCGTTATTCGACAGATTGTAAAAACTGGCAGAAAATATTTGGGAGAGTGCAACTACTCTTTTCCTTCTACTATGATATAATACTATAAAATAATAAAATTTCATTTAGCACCAAAGAAGAAAGGTAAAAATAATGATGATCTCAATGGCAAAGCTATTACAGAAGCAGATGAATTGTTGGGCTATAATGATGAAATGAGAGAAATAGCATCAAAAAAGAAAACCAACCAAGCAGCGTCTACTTCAAGGTCTAAAAGAAAAATTATTAAATCACCAATAGCAAATGGCGTTATAATAGAGGGTTCAGATTCAGAATGAAATATGCATTTTAGTGTATTATTTATTTAAAAAAAAAACTTTTTTATTCAGGCTGAGACTGATTTTTATAATAATAGGTAATAGCTAAAGTATTGTTTTATGTTTCAATTTTCTTAATTCCTATTACAATGATTAAAACTTAAAATAAATTAAGAAACTCTTTGTTTTTTAGATTTTGTTTTAACTGTCTCCTTTTTACTCCCTGTGTCTTGAAATTTTTTTAGGTCTGCACAAAATAATACCTAAAAACAGCAATTTTTCCCTAACTACATTTATCAATGTTTAAAAAAAACTTACAGTATGTGCCCATCCTGCTAAATGTCCATATAAACCTCTGAAATGATCTCCAATTTCATTGTAAATTTTTTCAGTTACTGTTTTTTGCTTAGCTAATTTTGGCATGTACAATCTGGCAGCAATTTGATAGATATGTGTATCAACTGGTATTGCTTCTAGATGACCCAAAGACATTAAGCAAATACAATCTGCAACCTTAATACTATTCTTAGCACTAACCTAAAGCATTTATTTTGTCACTACCTTTGCTCCTATTCCCATTAAAGACATTAAATTTCTTTTGGAATCTACATAGCTCATTTCTGACAATTCATCCAACCATTTCTTTCCACCATTTTCAACAATAGTCTTGGCAGAGTTACTGATATATTTGGCTCTATATCCAAAACCATTATTTCTCAATTTTTGTTCTACACTATTATCTGCTAAAGCATTCACTTCTGGAAAGGAATAATAAGAGGTACCATCAATATCACAGATTTTCTTGCCATAATACTGAGCTAGTTTTTCTACCATGCTTGAAATCCTGAAAGAAAAGTGTTGTGCTGTAGAAATACCTTTGCCTTTCTTAAATATAATTACAGGCATACCTAGAAATGTGGTTATTTTGTGAACAAATAAAAGAAAATATATTTTCAGTGGGATCTTGTCTTAATATTCTGATACCGTAAAATTGCTTAGCAGCTTCTTTGAAATGTGGATCTCGATCGCTCCATTTTGGATAATGTTCTGATAAATCAACATCTAGGTGAAGATAGTTGCTTAACAGCTCATTACAATATTGTTCATTTAAATCACTATCATGATCAGCTCCATAGACTTGATATAAAATCCTATCGCAGTCTTGCTGTAGTATCCAAACTTTATTTGAGAATACACCTATCCAATGGTCCTTGCTATCCTGAACAAGTTTTTTCCACCTGCACGGTCCAAGAAGAGTTTAAAATGATAATTAAAACTTTTAAAATACTTACCTAAAACTTTGCCCGCCATTTAGAGTGCCTGTTAATTGTAAATTACTACTTTTACAAGCTAATTTAAACCATTCTTTAACCATTTTGAATTTTGAAAGTTTGTTTACTTTTTCAACGTTTTTGTTTTCAAAAATTTTTATAGGTTATGATTCATTACATTTAAGTTAAAAAAAATAGGTAGGTGACCATTTAAACATCATTTAATATTATGCAACTAATAAAACACATAGTTTTCCTAACCTAAGTTTGAGATGTCAGATTTTGTGAACGAATATCTTTAAAAAAACGTGAGTAATCAACGTGTAAATTATTAGTTTCTATCATATGTTAACAAAAATTACCCCGTATTAATTAAAAATAAGATTTTAGTCTATTATACATTCAAAATGGTGTTAGATTTAGACTTGTTCCGTACTGACAAAGGCGGTGATCCAAATAAAATTAAAGAAATCCAAAAGAAGAGATATAAAGATGTAGGTCTCGTCGATACTGTAGTTGAAAAGGATACCTTGTGGAGACAATTAAGACATAAAGCTGATAATTGGAATAAACTGAAAAATGTCTGCAGCAAAGCTATCGGTGAGAAAATGAAGAAAAAGGAACCGCAGGGTGATGCAAGTCAAGAACTTCCACAAGATCTGATTTCAAACTTAGAGAATCTTACTATAGAACTATTAAAACCCTTGACTGTTAATCAAATTAAGAAGGTACATTATTTAGAATGTTTTTGTCATGTTGTGCAAAATTTTAATACTTTAGGTCAGGACACTTATAGATGAATCCGTTGTCAAAAATGACAATGATCTCTTAGTAGCAGAAAAGGACCGTAATTTTGCTCTTAAAGAAATAGGAAATCTGCTTCATGAATCTGTTCCAGTGGATGATAACGAAGATAATAACGTAGTTGAGAGAACATATGGAGACTATACTTTGAAAAAAAAGTATTCTCATGTAGATCTCATTTGTATGATTGATGGAATGGATGGTGAAAGAGGCACAACAGTATCAGGTACTAATAAAGATTTGTAGATTAGTTGGATAGTTTTTTTATATTAATATTTATTACTTAGGTGGTCGAGGATATTATCTTACGGGACCAGCAGTATTTTTAGAACAAGCTCTTATACAGCTAGCTCTCAGAACATTATTGAAAAAGGGCTATAAGCCTTTGTATACTCCTTTTTTTATGAGAAAGGATATTATGCAAGAAGTTGCCCAGTTATCACAGTTTGATGAAGAATTGTACAAAGTAATTGACTGTTGATTAAGATTTTTTGTTTTTTAATTTATTATTTATCCAGGTAATAGGAAAAGGTGAAAATTCAGAAGACAAGAGCGTAGAGGAGAAATATTTAATTGCCACCTCCGAACAACCGATTGCAGCATTCCATAGAGACGAGTGGATTCCAGAAAGTGCATTACCGATTAAATACGCCGGATTATCAACATGCTTTAGACAAGAGGTTGGTTCTCATGGTAGAGATACTCGAGGCATTTTTAGAGTTCACCAGTTTGAGAAGGTCGAACAATTCTGTTTGACTTCTCCCTTTGATAACAAATCCTGGGAAACCATGGAGGAGATGATTACAAACGCTGAAGAATTTTGCAAGGCCCTAGAAATTCCATATCGCATCGTCAATATTGTTTCTGGAGCTCTAAATAATGCTGCTGCTAAGAAATTTGACTTGGAAGCCTGGTTTCCTGGATCGGAAGCCTTTAGGGAGCTGGTCTCCTGCAGTAACTGCCTGGATTACCAAGCAAGAAGACTATTAGTCAGGTATAAAAACTAAAAATTGATTAATACAAGAATGATTGATTGGTTTTTAATAAAATATAGGTATGGTCAAACAAAGAAGATGAATGCTACTACTGATTATGTCCATATGCTTAACGCAACGATGTGCGCAACTACGAGAGTTATTTGTGCTATACTGGAGGTGCATCAGACAGAAACTGGCATTAAAATTCCAGCAGCTTTGAAGCAGTTCTTGCCTGAAGAATATAGCGAGTTCATACCGTTCGTCAAGCCCGCACCAATCGACGTAGAAAAGGAGGCAAAGTCTAAGAAACAAGGAAAAAAGAAAGGACAGGGAGAAGAATAAGCTATTAAAATGACGTTAATATGACATAAAGGCATTAATAGGAAAAATAAATGAGAATGCTGTTTTTAATTTATAATTTTTGATAATTTTATTTCCAAATTTGTAAGCGAAAATCTATAATAAATAAATTGATTTTAATTTAAATTAACCGTTTTTTCCCATCACTAAAAATAACGGAACATATTTTATGTCTGTGCGACAGCTTGACAAATGCGCGGTTCTTATTGTATTAGGCAATGATAAACCATTGATAATGAGCTATATTTGGAGAGTCCAGTCTCCAAGATGCTCGACTTTTTGAAAAGGATAGGGCTAGGGAATGTAACCTAGGGATCAGAAGAGGACTACAGTAAACCTGAAAAGGTCGCAATCGAAATTTTCGCTTTCAAGTTTCAATATCAGTACTAAAAATTATAAAAATACTTTATGCAGGATTTAATAAAAAAACAAACATGTTTAACGTAATTTCAGCTTTATTTTAGAATGAATAATACATGTATAATTATTTAAAAACAGCAAATAACATTAGCGTAAGCACTTTTAAAGGTCAATGGAACACTAGTCTCGAAATTATGAACAGCTAAGTATATATACAAACTTATTAGTATTTAAAAATTTTAATATAGCACATAGTATATTATTTGGCATACAAAATATGTTCTTTTTTGAAGCTATTTTCCAAGTTTCCTATAAAAAATCTACTGTCTTCTCTAATCGACGAGGTAACCTAAGAGAATTACGTTTTCATTTGTGTCTGTCTCTGTAGATATATTTTTTGTTTACACTGAAAAACAGCCTTAACTCTTTCAAACAAACAATATAAATAACAGTCTATACAATCAATGACTCGCTTAGACTATCAAATAGAAAAAAAACAATGTAATGTAATAATATAAAACACATACAATCACACATTAAACTTTCTTAACCAAACAAGCAGTTTTAAACGTTACAACATTGAAAAGGACACATTCTTACAACTGCTTAGAAAATAAGAGACTGTATGTACAATATACAGGGTGGTCCGAACTGTATTTCGGAAACTTGGGCAGCATATCCTGCAGATAAAAACGAATAAAAAAACTTCGTATAAATGTATCTCCTAAAATGCTTAGTTTCGGAGATTCCAGGGGGTAGAAGTTTCACATTTATTTAGATTTTTTCCAAATAATTTCTGAAGTAACGTCAATATTTGGATGAAAATTGGAGTCTGGGAGTTTGTTGACAAGAGAAATTTGATTTTGATGTCAATATGACTCCTATTTGTAGGGGGCGCCACCTACATGTGTTTTAACCATATCCGTATCAAATATATACGGATTATCGCCTATCCATGCAATGTGTTGGAATTGAAGCCGAGTTAGAGACAACTAGATAATCGGTCCATGTATATTTCACATAAGTCCGTCTGTTAGACAGATACTGGCGCAACAGCGCAACTCCAAAATTCCGAATAACGATTAGCCAGGAATAGCCAATTGTCGAACGGGAACGCAAACGAAAGCCGTACGAATGAACAGCTGGTGCTAGCGTCTAGCTCTTATTGGTCTGGATATCCGATCGATAATTCAAAATCCAGGCTTGCGCACTACGCTTGAGCACAGCTAACTGAGCGACTTATGCAAATTCCTTAGAAGACTTATATACCCATTTCACCGGCTTGGCTTCACAGAATGCAGTTTGGAGTCGATATTCTTTAGTTAATAAGTTTAGTTAATAGTATATATATGGTTTTAACTGTTTTGAATAACTTTTCGTCCGTACCGGTATAAAACTACTGAGTGAAAAATATACATTCCCGTAATTTTTGTTTTTCCAGTCTAATAACTATCTAGTCAACATGTTGAATGTATGTCAATGATGACAGGTGAACTTGTGAACTTTTTTAAATTAATCATAAATTTTTCTTCAAAAAAATCATGATAAAACAGTTTCTGTTGAACTTTTCCCACAAAAAACATTTCAAACTTGTAATTTTAGTTCAATAACTATTTCGTCAACATGTTTAATATATGTCAATTATGACAAGAATTGGTAATTCAGATTCTAAATATCTCGAGAACCATTACTCGTAGCGATTTTTACAAAGAGACCTTTTTTACGTAAAAAACGTCGTAAGTGTATATTTTTTTACTCAGTCGTTTTATATAGGTACGGACGAAAAGTTATTACTCTTCAAACCAGTTAAACAATGGGGTGGCGCCCTCTACAATTAGGAGTCATTTTGACATCAAAATCAAATTTCACATGTGAAAAAGCCTAACCTAACAGACACCAATTTTCATCCAAATATTGACGTTACTTCAGAAATTATTTCGAAAAAATCGAAATAAAAATGAAACTTCTACACCCTGTATCTCCGAAACTCAGCATTTTAGGACATACATTTATACGAATTTTTTTACTTATTTTTATCTGCAGAATATGCTGTCGAATACCGGAATACAGTTCGGACCACCCTGTATAATATTTAATTTAGTTAACAGTAAGACGTAAATAAATTTGCTTGTAATTATACAGGAGGGCTGAAATAAATGCTAATTATAGAAGAGTTTATTTTATAATAATCTTGGACTAATAAATAACAGAGACATCAATTTTATGTTAATATATATACAGCCATTGTTCAGCGTTACGTCATAATATACTGTCTTACACTTGCTTTCGCATGAAAACGGGATGAAATAGATTATAGCCGTCACTAGGGATGGGCTATAATATATTTTAATTATCGATAATTATCGATATATCGATAACTATATCGAATTACTGCTAGAGTGGGTGCATTTAAAGAACTTCTAATTAATGGATTAAAAAATTAGGTAAACAACAATTTACCCACAAACATATATCGATAGTAATAAACTTATACAGGGTGTCCCAGAAATAAGTGCAAGTATTTTAACTGGTAGTACAGTTCAACCACAGAAACACGCCTATGAGGTTTTTTTCGTGAATTTTTTTTTTGAAAATTCGAAATCTTTTGTAAATTTTTTTAGTTAAAAAACATAATTTCTTGATAATATATATTGCAACATAGATATTAGATTAAATTTACAAGAAAGAAAATCCAGAAAAGATCTAGTAGCTCTCAAAATTTTAGTAAAAAATCTTTTTTTTTTGAAATTTTCAAAGTAAAATAACTCCGATATTAAGAACTTATTTGAAAAACGGTAAAGAGAAAATGTTTCTTTTATCGAGATTTACCACCCCTTAAAATACTTGCATTTATTTGTGGGACACCCTGTATATATCGATAAATATCAATAACCCCAATATCAATATATCGATAGTTATCGATATATATCGGAAAAAATCCCATCCCTAGATGTCATTTTGGCATTTCTTGTCACTGCATATTGTTTCTAGTAAATATCTTTGGATTTTTATGGTTATGAACGTGTTGACAGAAATTGATCAGAATCAAAATTAAAAAAATGCATTGTGCTGCCAAATAAAATTCAAAACCGTTTGTTACTCAAATTTGTAATGCCCCTAAAATTACAAATTTAATAAATGCCGGATAAAAAGATCGGAACGCAGTCAATTACTAATTTCGGAACGCACCTAAATTATTCTAAACAATATGAACTGATTTCAGACTCGCCATAAATGACCATTTTGGATAAACAAAGATGACGTAAAGCTGATCGATCATTATACACATAATACTACCAAAAAAAATTCAATTAACAGAAAGCTACAATAAAATAATATACTGGGTGGTCCAGTATACTGAAAAACTTCATATCTTGCATTTTTATATTTTTTTTTTCAATAAAGCTACAGTTTTTTTTTAAATGCAATGCTGTATAACTTTTTACTCAGTGGAATCTCAAAGAGGATTACCTGATATGGAGCTTTTGTGAATACTGACTCACCCTGTATACTAGGGTTGCCTTTTAAGTTTTTACAATTGCTTGTTTCTTCAGTTGTACTGGACACGTCGCAACCATTCCATTAGAGAATCTATTAATACCGAATGATGCATGTACAACAATTTGTTTGCCAATGGCCTTCGATGAAATAAAGAAAAAGAACAAAAAACGTCGCATCATTCTTAACGACAATGCCAGCTACCACAAAGCACGTCAAACAAACGAATATTTGAAGGAGAAAAACATGGAATTAATGTCTCATTGCCCGTATTTACCTGATTTATCGCCTAATGACTTTTTCTTGTTTCCCACTGTCCATGCCTAGGAAACTCTTATGGAAGTGACAGGTTCTAGCCGATAGTCCATTACTAGACGCACGAAGGGGCGCTATTAGCAATAAAATTCTACAAAATTTAAGTTTTTACCGTCAAATGTAATATTTAACCTGTCAACAGTTGTCAATTTATATTTTATTTTGCCCGTTATCCGTAGATCGTGTTTTAAATTTCTTTTTGATTTGTATACGGCTCTGTTCTTGTGTTTTTTCATATTTTTTAACTGCAGACAATGGTTTTTAAGTGTTGTGTTACCGGCTGTAAGAATTACCAAAAATATACCCAAATGCATATGTTTCCGAAGGATCAAATAATAAGTGTTAACACGTGTTACATAGTATAAACCAAGATAGTTTCCCTTCCTTTGAGATTGTTAATTAATTGTAAAATTGGTTGCTCTAATTGTTATAGATCTAGATAGTTTTTATGATTATAAGGTTTTTTATTGTTTTTGCTATTATATTCAGTTCAATAAAGATGGTTTCTTATATTTTTTTGTGTTTTTGTTTGGTTTGATTAAATGAAAAAATCCGAAAAAAATAGAAACCATTCATTTTAAATTTGTTTTATTTCGTTACTAGACCCACGAGATGGCGCTACCGCTCGGTCCGGACAAAATTTATTGAGTTTCCTATCTATTTTATATTGTAGTATCTTATCTATGCCCACTGGCAAACAAAAGATGCGCGGACAGCGATTTTCATCACCTCTGGAAGCTGTTAGAGACTTTCAACACCATATAGACCTTAAGGGTGAATATTTCGAAAAGCAATAAAACACTGTGTTTCAAACTTGTTCGTTTCTGTTGCACTTTTCGTATAAGCTTAAAAGGCAACTTACGTAGTACACTAAAGCCGGACTCTGACGACTGGTGTACTTGGCAAGTACATGAATATTTGCGTACTAGGCAAGTATACCATCTTTGTACATAACATTTTATTCACCTATAATCAACAAGCTTGGCGCCCACACGGCGCGACCAGTGACAAATAATTCCACAAGTAAACTACGCACACAGTATGTCAGGGATATCCCTTTCAATAAAAAGATTAAGGAAGGAGCATATCAAAAATCTTAGATCCACCACGACACCACGATAGGACTCAAATATGGCCGACTTAAATTCCGGTTTATCAGTGCCGTTCTAATTTGATTTAAAAGTGTAAAACTATGATGTAGGGTAGACGTGGGGTAGACTCAATAATTTGTTGTTTTATTTTACGTTGTGAATAAATGTTGGTCGTTATTAAAATTGTTACAAAAATATATAATTTTAATAAAAATAGATAAGTTAAAATAATTATTTATTAGCACAAACATCCCATACGTTACTGAAGCAGGTAAGTCAAATTGACGTATCTAAATTTTTTGACATCTAATGTTTGACAAGTAGTAAATAAAAACAAAAATGCAAGAAAAAATATATAATTAGTTAATTTAAGTGAATTTCATAAATGATCGGTTTACTACACGCATGTATATTATATAGTCACTTACTAGCGAAAAGTTATTACATTATTTCACTCGATTTTTGACCGAGATCTACCGCACGCTACACAACCAACTATTTTACAGTCTTTTTCGATAAATCGCAGTACTGTCACTATTAATTTAAGTTCTGCCACAATTCCATCTAGATTTACTACATTTATATACAACTATCAGTAGTAGAATAAATAATAAATAACATAAAATAAGCTCAGTAAAGACTGACAAATCCACAAAATTTCAAATCAAATTCAAATATGTCAAATGAATCGTCAAACAGAACTGTCAAGGATCCCCACCCTAGAGTCCTTTTTCCGCCCCCATGCATGAATACAGGGATAGCATATATATACTCCTACCTATATTTTTTTATTCAAAGATATATCCCAATAACAAATGTTTGTCAAGTACACGAGTGGTCAGAGTTCGCCTCAACACACAAATGATTTTAATGTAGCAAAATTTTTAAAATAACAGTCTGGTAATATACATTGAATGATTTCACAAATTCACATTAAACACTGTATTCACAACCTTTAAATTATTTAATCTTCATTTAAACACACTATTTTATAGAATTATGAAAACTGTGATGTAGCAGAGTTATAGAATACTGAAAATTATGTTCGAGAACTGTGAATAATGTCAATATTATTTGTTACTCTGAGTTTTTTACTATTATACGCTTCTGCCCTGCATAAGTTAAGCAAATTGCGTATTAGAACAATACCCCTTAATATCTAAAAGAACAAATTAAATAATTAAGTTGTAAAAATGTATCAAAAAATCAGATCTATATAATAATAAACGCTACAACAGAAATATTGAGACTGACATATTTTCACACCAAATGTTCCATATACTCACAATAAATTATTACAATAGAATTATTTTTCGAGGCGTTATCGCCTAAATAATTTATTTTTTGTTCCTCTTCGCATTCAAAAAATTATATCAGAATACATCCATTGTGTTGTTTGATACATTATTTTCAAATATATACAGCTATATTTAAGATAACAAAAAAAAATGGGAAGAAATAGACAATACGAATAAAATACAGGGTTGTTCACCACATACGACACGGAGTATTGTCGTTAAACCATTAGATTTTTGCAAATTGTTAGTTTTGGGTTCGTCGAAGCATTTTTTTAAACGGAACACCCTGTATATTATTACATTTTTAGTTTCTACAATTAAAATAAAGGTAAATTTGATTAAGGTTTATCACACTTAAACCATACCGTTTTTGAAAAATTTTCAATTTTGCGAAATTGCACTAAAAATTTTAAGGCTTCATTCTCCAAGGGTATCAAAGTTTTTAATATACTCTGTTTTTTTTCTCAGGTAAGATTTCGACAGACGATGACAGAAAAAAAGCAGATGACGTCCATACCAATCCATTTATTTCACTAAAAAAAATGTTTCTAATATTTTTTAAGTTAACTATGGATGGATTTGTTTATAAATCCGTCACGGCGTCGTCTGTTGTTGTTTTTAGCCAGTTTTATTGGTTTATTTCAAAAATGACAGATGGTATTTCAATATTATTGGTTTGACGGAACGACGAACGACAAACGGATGCCAATGCGTATGAACTCGACTTAAGATTTTTAGAGTTGTCAAACTCTTGCCAAATTATAGGTTATAATTTTGTGTCAAATTATGACAAATAGAAATAGTAAATACTTTGAATTTTGGACTGTTATTACGTGCGTTTCGTGTTTTTTTCAAATTACGTGGATGAAAACTCGAGGGAAAATTAAGTGTTGATCCAGACCATAGTTTACAGTTAATATTCGCTGCCCAGAGATCGTCAGAGAAACAATTTGCCAGAGAGTTGTATTAGCCACAAATAATGTTTGTATAACATCTCATATATGGTACCAAAAACTGGAGTATCAGTAAAATAATATAACACGATAGGTAAATAATACATTTTAGTACTGCAGAAAGATCATGTCAAAAGGTACTGTCTTTTTTTAATAAAACAACTCAATTAGATTTTTTCCGTTTTATACAGTTTTTTTGCACATTTTGAAGTAATGACTTGTCTCTCAAATTTTAAATATATCTGCTATTTGTTCCAATTATACCAACTTATTTCTTTGTAAAAAAAAAATAAACTACTTTGAAATTATTATGACAGAGACATCTATCACTGTCAAGGATTTTGTCGTTGGACAGACTTTACTAAATATTTACTGAAGTTTATTTATTGAACAATTCTTGTGTTGCAATTATAAAAATAATGCTACCTTATACAGAGTGTCTAAAATTTATTTTAAATAATTTATGGCTTTAAACGGCAATAACTTGTTTAATTTAAACGGAACGCCCTGTATATTTTATGAGAATCAGATGCACAATTTAATTATTTATCAAATTGTATTATACCATTTTTTACCTATCTCGTCAAGTTTTCGTAGAAAATGCATTTTCTTATTTCTTAGACCTACTTTAACAATATACCCATGGAATATTGACATTTTAGATCATTTTTAAAGAGTACGGATACTAATATTGTTCGTTTATTTCATTAAAAAATAAAAAAAAATGTTTAAATATTTGTTAAAGAGGACCAATTAATATGATTCCTGTATTCAAACTACATTAATTGACTGTTTACGTTGATTAATAATGATTGCTCCAAATACTAAAAAACTGAACTTTGTATGTGTATTAGACAGAGTGGTAAAATGTAACACCTTAAAAATTTTATTCCATTTTTTGACGAATGCTTGTTTATAATTCATTTTCATAACTTATTATTATATTAATTTCTGATTCAAATCCACATTTATTTAGAATAATTTATTAACTAACAAAATTAAGTATGTAATTAATTAATATTTGGGAGGAAATAATTTTGGTATACTTAATTAATGGTATACTCTTTTATAAAGATTTAAATAGTTTTCTTTTTGTATACAAATGAAATAGTAATATTATCGTTTTTAGCACCTGTACATTTTGTACATTTGTTACTTCACTAAAAATTTCAATATTCCATGGGTATATTGATAAATGGGGTCTAAATTATAAGAAAATGCATTTTCTACGAAAACTTGAAAAAATAGGTAAAAAATGGTATAATACAATTTGATAGACAATTAAATTGTGCATCTGATTCTCCTAAAATATACAGGGTGTTCCATTTAAATTAAACAAGTTATTGCCGTTTAAAGCTAGAAATTATTTAAAATAATTTTTTAGACACTCTGTATGAGGTAGTATTATTTTTATAATTGCAACACAATAACTGATCAATAAATAAACTTCAGTAAATATTTAGTATGAAAAACTTTGACACTCTTGGAGAAATGCGAAGCCTTAAAATTTTTAGTGCGATTTCACAAAATTGAGAATATTTCAAAAACGGTAAGGTTTAAGTGTGATAAACCTTAATCAAATTTACCTTTATTTTAATCGTAGAAACTAAAAATGTAATAATATACAGGGTGTTCCATTTAAAAGCTTTGATATTTTTTTATTTATTTGGGATTTATTATTATTGTAAAAATATTTTTAAATTGTAGCTCTAATAGACCTTCAACGAACCCAAAACTTACAATTTGTAAAAATCTAATCGTTTAGCTACAATATTCGGTGAATAATCCTGTATAGCGAAAAACAGCCACAAATTAGTTTCCTTATTAAATAGTTAATAATAGTACGACTTAACAAAAAGTAAACATGATGAAAAATATAGTAAATCACATAATTAGTAAGTAAATGGTCAAGTAAATGTCTTCTCAGACCTTCTCCTTCACATTCTAATATAAAGCTTCACATTTTTGTGTATAAATAAAAACAAACCTGAATATTTCTTTTCGCAAAGAAATAAAAACTGCTTCGTCGGTATATAAACAAAAAAATCGAAGAATTTAATTGATATGAGTTGCGGAAAGGTGCGATCTAGGTTTTCGGCGTTGAGGTGCTCGAATTCTTCGGACTGGTAGGCATGGAATTGTTTTGTTCCGATCGACTAATGTACAACCTTAATAGTTTCACTTTGCTTCCTGTAAGCAGGTTGATGTATATCGCGAACCGTTCCTCTCCTACAGCTTTGTACAAAGCTACCATACAAAAGATCGAGCTTTTCCTTACCGGGCTCTCATTGTGATCCGTTCCCTAAAAGTGAGACAAAACACACCTCAGAACATATACGGAGCGATTAACAATCATTAAAATTGTTGGTAATACTGTGTTTTTATAAGGATTTTAGGATTAATAATTTGGTACAGACGCCAAAACAAATTATCGATCAAAAAAATTGTGTGTGCACTATGTACGCATATATGAAGTACGTATATACCGGGTGTTGCATCGTCGAGCGGGACATAGGAAATCCCATGTAAATTTTAATGGGGTCAATTATTGGCTTCCCTAATTATTTTAGAGAATAATTCTATTTAGGTTTATTGAAGAGCACTAAAACCCACATTTAAAAGAATAACTTTAGATATTTTTGATTAGCTCGTTTACGAGTTATCGCCGTAGGCCAATTGAACCCATTAAAATTTACATGGAATTTCCTATGTCCCGTCCGACGATGCAACACCCGGTATGAAGTGTTTACTAACTAAAAAAATTAAAAAGCTATAGGGTGAGCCACTTTTGAGACGCACCCGGTATACCTCGGCTCCCTGATATCAAACAAAGGAGGATGTGATGCAGAAATCAAGGGAAAACTGTGTATAGCACGTAATTCCATGACCAAACTCAATAAAATATTCAGCCATTTCAATTAGCAACAAACTCAGACTACTAAGAGCCCTAATTTTCCCCATTGCCCCTTATGACTCAGAGACCTGGACACTGGAGTTGGCAATGAGACGTAAAATCGATGCTTTTGAAATGTGGTGTTATAGACGGATGCTGCGAATACCGTACACAGCTCACCGTACAAACATTTCAATTCTCGAACAACTGAATATCGAATCTAGACTGTCGATATCAATAAATCAAGCATATTTAAGATACTTTGGCCACATATCCAGGAATACCAGTGGGCTCTTTGAATAAGAAGACTAAGGAAGGAGCATATCAAAAATCTTAGGTCCGCCGCGATGGGACTCAAATATGGCCGACTTAAATTCCGCTATCAGTGCCGTTCTAATTTTATATAAAAAATGTAAAACTATGATGTAGGGTAGACGTGGGGTAGACTCAATAATATTTTATTTATTTTACGTTGTGAATAAATGTTGGTAGTTATTAAAATTGTTATAAAAACATATTATTATAATAAAAATAGATAAGTTTTAATAATTATTTATTAACACAAACATCCGATACGCTACTGAAGCAGGTAAGTCAAATTGACGTATCTAAATTCTTTGACATCTAATCTTTGACAAGTAGTAAATAAAAGCAAAAATGCAAGAAAAAATATATAATTAGTTAATTTAAGTGAATTTCATAAATGATCGGTTTACTACACGTATGTATATGATATAGTCACTTACTAGCGAAAAGTTGTTCCATTATTTCACTCGATTTTTGCCGAGATCTACCGCACGCTACACAACCAACTATTTTAGAGTCTTTTTCGATAAATCGCGATAGTGTCTCTGTTAATTTAAGTTTGCCACAATTTCCATCTAGATTTACTACCTTTATACAACTATCAGTAGTAGAATAAATAACATAAAATCCGCTCCGTAAAGACTGAGGGCGGATTTACCCAATTTCTTAATTGCTATTCCTTAATTCTTATTTCTTAGTCTCTAATTTGTAATTCTTAATACACAATTCTTTATCCCTTATTTTTTTAGAGACAGTTATCCAATGGCTTAATCCTTATTTCTTAATTTCTTAAAACTGACACTAGTAGATCAAATCAAATCGTTTTTATTTCGCTGTGTTATTGTGTGCAATGAGGTCCATACAAAAAATTGCAGCACTTTCGGGTTTGTTTATAACCATGGCTTGTGTTGCTACTCTCGTGAATCGCCACCGAGGTTGTAGGCGATTTGGGGTTCGCCCCATGAATAGAAGAAAGGACATGGAAGGCAATTTTGGAATTCTAATACAAGACATGCCTTCCTTGGAATGGGACGAACAACAGTTCACAAAATACACAAAAAATTAACATTTCAAAATTTCACGCATGCGCATCTACACGTTTTCCTTAATCGCTAATTCGTATTCGCTAAAAAGTTAAAAGTTGGGAACTTTCAAAATAAAGAATTACGAACCGTGGTTAAGAAATAAGGATTAAGACATTGTATAACCAAACTAACTGCATAACACGTATTTTATCTTTTTATAATTTAGCGAATAAGAAATAAGAATTAAGGAATAGCAATTAAGGAATTGGGTAAATCCGCCCTGACAAATCCACAAAATTTCAAATCAAATTCAAATGTGTCAAATGAATCGTCAAACAGAACTGTCAAGGATCCCCATTATGCTCCTTCTTAGTCTTCTTATTCAAAGAGTGGGCTAGAAAAACTAATTGTGGAGGGAAAAGTGAACGGGAAACGTCCTAGAGGGAGATCCCCAAACCGTTGGGTGGACCAAACGAAGACGATAATAGGTCATCTGCATGATAGGTCATCTGCATGCACGAGGCCAGTACTGCTGCGCAAGACAGAACAACATGGAGACACACAATAAATGCGATATCAGAATGGCACCATACTCTGATAGAGTGATAGGAAGGAGTAAGAAGTTTCACTTCAAATATACGTTTTTTAAAATTACTACACTATACTGACGTCATTTGGAAGCGCGGTGGCTTTTGGTTTTGAGGAGGTATTGGTCACTGAATCTTTAAAGCTAAATCCGCAGATTCTAAGGACACATAAACAATAACTCTTACCTTAAGAATACCAGGCATCACTTGCAGTAAGTGGTCGTCGGTAATCTGTTGCGGATTGGCTTCGATCAACTTCGTCAGCATTTTAATGGCGCCCAAATCTTCGGGATACGGACTAGTTCGAATCAGGGGTGCCAAAGTGTAGACCACGGTATCAAAAGGACAAACGGCCATCGCTGCTGCAGTAGTTTCTGCCTCTTTCACCACCTAAAAAGCGAAAAACGTCAAATCACAGTCGGTACGTTTGAACTACCATCGTGTTCGTACCTCACGCCTTTCGCTACTGTGAGCCTTCAGTACTTTTAACGTGATAAGTTCGACGAAGTTCTGCCACGTGTCTTTCATGGTAGAGTTCTGGAAAATGGCTGCTAAAATTTTTAAGACGATCACTTGGTTCTGGGGATCTTTGCTTTCCAGGTGGTCGATAAATATTCTTAATAATTTTCTAAAAATTTCAATATTTTAACATAAAATTCAATTTAAAGAGATACTAAGAGTATTAAATACAGAATTATTGAACACGATATTTGTGTAAAATAAGAAAAGAAAATACATATAGATAATTTTTGAGATTTTGATTTTTTTTTACTTACTTAAAATTAACTAACACACTTTGAACGTGGCCTTGCCTAATAAGATCCAAAACTTGATTTAACAGTCTTCTTTTTTCCGCTATGGGTGTGATGTGGTCTATACAGCATCTCTCTATCACTTCTTTTATTACCGCATCCGAGTCTTTTATATCCCCTAAAATATTTAAGATGGTATTGTGATTAAGCGAGTAGAACAATATGTGACTCAAGTACAGGGTGTCCCATTTTGGTTGAAATCATACGGTATCTCCGTTATTAGTAAAGATAGGAGGATGCGGTTTGCACAAACCTGTCCCACTTTTTTATCAAACGGAAGATGCTGCAAACAAAATTTTCATAGCCTTCTTCGTTTCTGAGCTACAGGGTCTTTTTGAAAATTTTGCAATTTGGGACACCCCCTGTATCTCTGTTATTGTTAAAGGTATCGAGAAGGTGAAAACTGTTTATTGTAGAACTTTTTACGTAGAATACAGTGGCGTAGACTCGTTTTCTACGAAAGAAATATTTTTGAAAGTATGAACTAAAGTTAGGTTTTTTCAAATGGAACACCCTGTATATTTATAAATAATATGATCTGTCTTACTATGAGCTTCTCAAAAATGTATATCACTCTATATTTATTTTCAGTATTTACTGCAATATTTAAAATATATCATTTTCTTATTAGTAGGCCGTGATAAATAACAAAAAAAATAAAATGGCAAGTTCATTTCGCTCTTAAAAATTAACCAAGGCATGTGTTGAAATGAGTCAAAAAACAAAATGCTCAGGAGACATGGTTCTGACAGAAAAATAATGTTTTAGGAAAAACCACTCACGAAATTATTGCACAGGGTGTTTTAAAGTTTGGTTTGGTAAAACATCCCTTCAATTAACCCTGTATAATAAGCCAAATACTAAAGTTTACAAAACACTGAGTTTATGAACTTAAGTTGATAGATTTATATACAATTAATCTTCTATACATACCTAAGCTCCTGCATCCATTAGAATCGGTCTCCGTAATGCCATTGACGCTGGTGTAAGGTAGAGATCTGGGTCCCGATCTAACGTTAAACGGCCTTAACTCTTCCATCTTTTCTTCTATAATACATATATCATTTTTAATATCGTTCCCTACAGACATTTGGGATATTCCCGAATCCTGAGATGTCGTGTCCCTATCCCTATCTAATTTAGGCCCTAAAATATATCATAATATTATATCCTTAACATTTGCAATCGACTGTGCATAGTGAAAAAGAAACTTAATAAATGTATTATGATATGCAATTTATAAGCCCTGAATTCATCTGCAGCGCCGAAAAAGCACCAGAATGGCCACAAAACAATGAGTAGGCAACAAATCTCTAGAAAGGTGAAGAAATTCACTATATAACTAACTATAAAACTAACACGAATATGGAAAGATTCTGCAATATCCCAGCGCAACAAATTAAAATTAGTAAACATATTGATCTTTCCTATCTTATGCATCAGAGACCTGGGCTCTGAAAACTACAAACAGGCGAAAAATATGCTTTCGAAATGTAGGCCTACAGAAGAACGCTGCAAATTTCATACACAGAACATCGGACCAACGTATTAATTCTAAGGCAGTTGAAAGTTAACACAAGACTTTCAACCAAAATAAACCAGTCATACCTTAGGTACTTCGGGCACATTTCGAGAAGAACAGATGGACTGGAAAAAATCATAATCGAAGGGAGTTAATTAATGGCAAACGACCAAGAGGAAGATCTCCGACGCGCTGGGTGGACCAAACCAAATCAATTATTGGTCACGGCCTGCAAGAGGCTTCTATAGCCGCTCAAGATGGAGAGGGATGGAGAACAACGATCCGAGCAATTGAGACATGATGCCACCATACTCTTTCGAGAGTTAACGGATGAGAAGAAGAACAATGATGCGATTTTCGCATTACTTTGCTACCTTTTTATGAAACTAAATATGCTACACATACATATGTTTGTCGTAGCCTCCTTAGTTCCTGAAACACAGAGCGTATTTGTGATGCGCAGTAGTGAACAGATGTTGAATACAGATATAATGCGCAGTAGCGAACACAAAGTCTACCGGCAGCCAGACGGTCCACACTCTGAGGAGAGCATAGCAAAATATATATTAAAGAACCAGCTTTCTTAAAATTTTCTCAAAAACGTTGCTAGCTCTTAGAGTATAAGTAAAACAGCGAGATCGTTATGGAAATGAAAATATAAAATGACACCAACCACAAGCAAATTGTATATCCGGTGAACAGAGGCATGAAAATGCAATATACTTAAAAACTGCGTTATTTTCTAACCAACCGAAGTCTTTAAATTCAACCAATAAAATTAATATCATATCATCGTATCGTTAGACAACGGATGTATGAAAATCAAGCTTAAAACGATGAAAAATGTCAATATTACGTCAACCTATTTTTCTATGGATGTCATTATTCTTATTATACGAGGAAAATGTTGAAGACCCTTCTCAGCATTTTCGAAGCTTTGAACAATATTTATAGCTGCCAAATCATAAATTATCAATTAATTATTGAGGAATTTACAGAAAAATCTATCTTGTGCAAAATTCCTGACAAATCTTTTAACTGGCTACTTACTTGACCTACCTAGAGTTTCAAAACTGTAGTTTTGAATTTCGGCCGTGGTCCTCCTCAAACTTTTGTACACCTCCTCTTGGTCGCCGAAAGGCGGCGTTCCGGGCGATAGAGGTTTCGGACTGCCGGAGATCATGGGGCTGCTAGGCTCGCTGCTGGTCGACGTTTTCCTCATGTGGTTATGTACAATGTTGGAAGCGATATCTTGTTGTTCCTAAAGCCGATGAAATAAAAATATCTAAGATCTAAATGATAAAAATATTAACGTTGTTCTTGAGGTCAGGGACTTGGGGATTGTCATATACACTATATCGCTAGTCAGGAAGAGAAATTGAAGCCAAATTTTTGAGATGGAGCTATACAAAATCCACATAAGTGGGTCCTTTTCGTTCAACAGCTTTGAACTGCACAAGCCTGAGAAGTGCTTCTCGATTAGTTGATTTATTTCATACTAACCAAGAGAACTAGTTTTCTATCTAACACGTAAATCAGGCGTCTGACTATTCGCGCCATTACTTATAAATTTAAATTTAATCTCTGACATACAAAAACTATATATCTAAAATATCAGGTTGAAATAATGCCATTACCAATAAAAACATAATATATTCTACGTTATTAATATTTAGAATTTAAAATAGTGCGCGGGCAGGTGACAGCGTTCAGCGATGAAGTAGACGAATCAGATCGTTTTATTGGGTTATGCAGATTGATATTCCTATTTCTTTTCTTTGACTTCACTTTCCACTCATTGTGTAAATGCGGTACTAGCAATATAATATTCTTATAATATACTCGTATTGGGGGGTTGTAATAGACTGCAAGTGGTCTTTTAATCCTCATATTGATCAAATGATCAAGTCTGCGTTTAAGATGTTAGGATTCATGTTAGTCTACAAGTAATGGCAATTTGCTGTTCCCGCGTGGTCGCCAGGATATAATGTGCATGTCGAACGAATTGAGAGGGTACAAAAAAGTTCTTAAAATTTCTGTCTCTTAAATATAACATCCCTAGTACTAAATCATTATTTTATAGAGATTCAATTAAATTTTAGAATTGTGCCTCTGCAGCAACGTAGAATAATGTTAAAATCTTGTGGTATTGTTTAAACTTCTAAAGGTTGTCGCCCACTAGACCGCGGCGCGACGCGGCGCGGCGCCATGTGGAAATTTCTTTTGTCTGCTTGCCATGTATTTAAATGGACCAACGCACATTAGAGCGCGCAGCGCAGAAGCGCGCCGCGGGATTTCCGTCAAGAAGTCGGAAGACTTCTCTAGCAACGTTTTTCCGTCTCCCGCGTTTCGGCGCGTAGCAGTGTGCGTACTCACAACGGAAATAATTTTGCATTCGAGTCTTTTCAGTTGGCTTTTTGACTACGAACTAGTGATACGTATCAATGGTAGAATTGTATTTTTAAAGGTAAATTAGGTAATTATTAAAATCGATTTTCATAAAGGAATATGATATTTTTTTTAGTCTTCCCTCACTAGAGACAGATGGACGAAATGCCTTTCTATCAAAGATTTAATATAATTGAGGGGTGTAGAGGCAAAACCGACAATCTCCACTTTTTAACAAAAGTGACAATCTCCAATTTTTAAATTCTAATTACCTAAATATATAAAAAAGATCAGGGTTTTTTCACCACATAACTAATATACACATCAGAATAAATAAGAATTATCAAAAGTATGATGAGTAGAGATACCCGGTGTTTTGCTTCTAAAACCCTCAATTGAGGAGTGCGTAAAATGTTTCCTTTATATTTTGTAATACAAGGGTAATACTGAAAAAAATGCTCTTGTCTTTTATTAAATCTGGAAAAAGATGGTAAAATTCTCCAAACTTCTTTCTTTTTTTGTTAATCGTATGAGTCCAAATTTTTCCTTTTCTTCTTCACCCCCTCTTCCTCTTCCTCTGTTAGAAGAGCACAAAAATACGCTTTCGTCCGTACTTGAACTCATTGCTCTAAAAACTAAACTACAGTAAGTAAAAAACACTTCGACTATAACTAAATAGCGTTTCCGCGTTTCAAAAGCGCGCTTTAGTGGGCGCAGTCCCTTCGCAGCCGGAAAAAATTCTCTTCCCAGCGCCGCGCCGCGCCGCGGTCTAGTGGGCGACAACCTTAAACATTTTAGATGTTCCAGAATTACTTTCAAAAATTAAACTTTGTGCACCTGTTAGACGGTTTAGGGCTCAGGATTGTTTTTCGATTCCATATAGTAGAACAAACTGGGGTTATAATTCTCCAATAAAAAAATTATTAGTTATAAATCCTCTCTCCTCTGAAAAGAGGCTAAAATCATAGATATGCGATATAAAATAAAAAGACCAAAATATAAAAATATGGGAATCACCGCCAAAATCTGACACCTGACACAAGTCATAAACAAACATCGGCGCATACGGTAGCGAGCACTTACACTTAATTTTTCAATAATTTCATTGGATATAGATGGCGTTTTACTAAAGACGCACTGTAAACAAATATTCAAGCAAAACTAGTGTTTCTTATTTTAACAACTAAATATGTAAAACTGTATAAATAAAATCGATCTTCGATTTTAAAATAAAACGATTACTTATACCAAAAGATCGTTTGACAAGATGATTTTTTTGGGTAAAAAGATCGATCTTCGATTAAAATCGTACATCTTTACCTTTAATACCGCACATCCTTGCCATATCCACAGAATATCTAGCTACGCAACAGAAGCCTCGTTACACGTATAAAATCGTAGGTATCAAAAGGAGACAGGTTTTAAAAGCCTGTCTCCAAATCAGATATTTTGATGCGGTAGTTTCGCTACTACATAATAGAGGGCGATTAATTTAAAGGAAAACAGTTTTCTACAAACGAAATTTAAACGAATTTTATGCAGTGTTGCCATTGTGCAATTCATATTGTAATACTTCCTTATAAAGCCTACCTTCAAATTTGCTACACCATTTAAACATATTAAAATAGATCAGAGCTCTTTTTTCAAACGTTTCAGGTTAGTAGGAGTTAAATCTTAGAGCTGAATTATAATCACTTTGTGACGTTTGATTGTAATTAAATTTCCTCGATCGGACTTATACTTGGTATAGTAAGTATCTTCGGTGACATTGTAATATGATGGTACTATGATGCATACAAAGTGGTACCTTCTATAGTACCATATTATGATACCACTTCCTGACGTTCGATTGGGCTCATATTTGATTATACCTGCGTATTTTTTATGACATTGCAATATTATGGTACCATGAAGCATATCAAGGGGTACCATAATGTAGTTCCATATTACGATACCATTTCCTGGCGTTCGATTGGGCTTAAACTTTGTATGATACGTATGTTCGGTGACACTCTAATATGATGGTACTTTGATGCATATAAAGTGGTACCTTCTATAGTACCATATTATGATTGATTATACTTGCGTATTTTTGATGACATTGCAATATTATGGTACCATGAAGCATATCAAGAGGTACCATAATGTATTACCATATTACGATACCATTTCCTGGGGTTCGATTGGGCTTAAACTTGGTATACTACGTATCTTCGATGACATTGTAATACGATGGTACTATGATGCATATAAAGTGGTACCTACCTATAGTATCATATGACGATATGCGACGATATAGTATCATATGATGATTTTGCTTAAATTTGGTATACTATGGATCTTCGGTGACATTGCAATATTATGAAGCATATCGAGTGGTACCATAATATAGTACAATATTATGATATCATTCCCTGGAGTTCGATTGGGCCAAAATTTGGTATACTTGCGTTTCGTTATAAAGATTTGTTTAATTAATAATTTTAATTTATTGTACGATGTCGTGACAACTTTTATGCCGAACTAATATATTATTAATTGTACCTGTGTCACTTTTTAAAATCTACCTAGGTCTATATAAAGAACGTGGCAACAGAAGAAATTTGTTCTTATAGTATTTTTTTAGTCAATTAACGTTTTTTATACTGCATTTTAATAAATTATTTCCATTATTATTAAACGTATATTTCATTACTAACGTTTCAGCATTAATAAATATCACTATCAATCGCCCTGTCTATTATTAATTTTAAAGGTAATTAAAGTTACTTTCTTAGTTAACATAATAAAGTAGTGTATTACATATATTAAGAATGTATTTTGTGAGCATATGTTTTCTAATAATATACTTAAACTTAAAACTATTTTAAAAGCCAAACGAATAATTAATGTAAGGGTATCTGACAAGAAACGAAGAATAGAAAGAAATTATTATACACCAGAAAAAGAATGGGATGCCAATTAAAGTCTTTTTGAATCTGGCAACTGTGCATCTTTAGCCGAGCTTCAAGGCTGTCGACGTGCCGTCGATCTAAAACCGAAAATTGAAAATGTCCAATTATATTCTGATTATGATATTGTCGCGCCATCTAGTATTTTATTTGTGCAATTTTAGCTCTTTCATTTCGAGTATTTTTCTGTTGCGTAGCTAGATATTCTGTGCCATATCTCTCGAACGAATGGTTAAAGAGTTTGCAAATTGAAAGCTATTTCGTGTCTGTTCTATTTATACGTTATTCTTCTTTTTACCTTTACAATTCTCTTACCTTAGGAAGTTCAGTGAGCATGAGCGTAACCGCCGACGTGTTACAGTTCCACAATGCGACGATACACGCCCGCGCCACCTGCCTAATCTCCATCGACTTGGCGTCCTGCGAGAACGCGATCAGCTTCTGCAAGGCCTGCAGCGCGTTCGGCGCCGTCGATATCGCCTTGTCCGCGTCCTGCTGCGCGCACAACGTGCTCAGAAAGTTCAACACCACAGTCTTCGACTTCGTGTTGGGCGTTTGCGTGGCGTCCAACAGGAACCGGTACACGTTGGCGATGAGCAAATGGACCGGGAAACTGTGCCGCACCAGGTCGAGAGTGTATATCAGTTTGCTCTGGATAGAGTTAAGCGTTTCGCCGCCGATTTTTAGAAACACTCGCTGAAGAAGGACGTAGACCCAGTAGTCGAGGTCTTCTTTGTGGAGCTTGATGACCTCGTGGAGGGTGTCCAGGAAGACGCCCCAGCCTTTCGTGTGCGAGTCCATGAACATTTTCGTGAAGATCTCGGTGAGGTGTTTCAGTTCGCCGGAGGTGAGCTTTATTTCTTGGCTGAGGTAATACTGGAGGGATAGGAGGCCGTCTCTGCGCTCTTGCCAGTTCGTGCTCGCGCACAAGGCTATGATTTCGTTAATGTCCTAAGCGGGAAGAGTTTGCAAATTAGATTAGAACCGTTGTAGTACTAAAGTTATAATCGTTTTCTGATAATTCCTTTAACCTATTATAACATTTGAAAATTTAGTTGAGCTCACACTTGCAATGTAGATTAATTACATACAGCCTTGGAATAAAAAGATTAAGGAAGGAGTATAATGCTATCCGTGTATTCATTAGGGTGTCCGTTATTTTCTAAATTGATTTTTTTGCTGCCGCCCTCTGAAATTTTAGTTTTTGCTCTAAAAAAAGTATCCAACGTAAACAAGCTCTTAATTTTTAATTTAAACCGTACCGGAATCATGATACTTTTCCCATTTAAATAACATGGGATTTTCTGACCTTTTGCGTTGAATTTTTTATCTCCAAAGCAAAGTAACCTCTTCGACAAAGACATATTCTAAATAATATCATAAAATTTTACGCTCTACAAAAAAGGTCTCTTTGGTTTTTTCCATAAAAACATTCCTTTAAAAGTTATTCGCGGTCAAAGTTATTGCACACTGAAAGGCAATGAAATAATAACCTTAAATTATAGTTTTGATTAATTGTATACTGTAGACTGTATAATATACATGCGTGTAGTTCATTTAAAATTAACTAAATATATATTTATTCTTGCATTTTTGCTTTTATTTACTACTTGTCAAAGATTTTAGATACGCCAATTTGATTTACCTGCTTCAGTAGCGTATCGAATGTTTTTGTTAATAAATAATTATTATAACTTACCTATTTTTATTAGAATTATATATTTTTATAACAATGTTAATAACTACCAACATTTATTCACAAAGTAAAATAAAACAACAAATTATTGAGTCAACTCCACGTCTACCCTACATCATATTTTTACGCGTTTTGGATAAAATTAGAACGGCATTGATAAATCGGAATTTAAGTCGGCCATTAGGACCCCGTCGCGGTCGATATAAAATTTTTGATATGCTCCTTCCTTAATATTTTTATTCAAAGCATACATTAAAATAATAGATATATTATACATTTATTTTTTATTAAACTAGCTTACTCTAAATTATTATTAGAAATGGGCAAAGATAAAGAACAAAAATTATTAAAAGTAAGTGTAATACTATTGAAAAACTGAGTGCAAGCTAATGCATAAAATCCTCTTAAATATACAGGATGGGTCTTAAATAACTGCACATATTTTTAGGGAGTAGTAGATTAATTTTAAATAAACGAAATGCACAAAAAATCGGGTGGCTCTCAAATTTTTCCGAAAAATAAAACAATTTTTTAAAAATGTTCAATATAATATACAGTGGTGGCCAAAAGTATGGAAACTTTTTTAATTTGTCATTTATGCTGAGAAATTAAAATATGAAATAAAACGACTTTTATAATCGTGACCTACAAATAATTTCCTACAAAACCTAATACATTTAAATAAAAAATTACAGCTATCAAAAAATATATAAAAAATTATGAATATTTTCTTGGTCAAAAGTATGGAAACTTAAGAAGAATGTTTATTAAAATTCAAGATAATATAAAAATTACTAATATTTAGTGGAATATCCCTTTGAATTCATACTTCTCTACATCTTCGTGGCATCGAATCGATCAATCTCGTACAATCTTTACTGGAAATGGTCGCCCATTCAGTTTTTAGCACTTCCCATAATTCATTTTTATTTGAAATAGAATGGCTTCGAATTTTGCTATCCAAATGGTCCCATAAATTTTCTATGGGGTTAAGATCCCGAGACTGTGAGGGCCAATCCATTAGTGGAACATTATATTCATTTAACCAATTTTGAACAAACCGAGATTTGTGCTTTGGATCATTGTCTTGCTGGAACAACCATCTGAGTGGCATTTCTTCATTAGCATGAGGCAGCATATTATTCTCCAATATGTCTTTGTACAAAAAACGGTCCATTATCCCTTCAATTTTAACAAGAGGACCAACACCTGAGCGAGAAAAACACCCCCATACCATTATACTCCCACCCCCATGTTTTACTGTGGGCATCTGGTACTTATGGCTGTACCGTGTACCTTTTGGTCTTCGGACATAAGGTCTCCCGTCACTACCAAACAGTTGAAACTTGCTTTCGTCGCTAAACAGTACAGTATTCCATTTCTGATAAGACCAGGTGAGATGATCTTGAGCAAATTTAAAGTGGGCCATCCTATTTTTCTTTGATATTAGTGGTTTCTTCACCGCAACTCTTCCAAAAAGTCCCATGTCATCCAACCTTCTTCTCACCGTGCGTGCAGACACCGATATTCCCCTTTCACCCATTTCTCGAAATATGTCTGTGGATGTTTTTCTTGGATCTCCCCTTGATATTCTCTTCATTACTTTCATTGTCCTGTTGCACTACTTTCTTGGTCTTCCTGACTTAAAAGCTGTTGAAACGTTCCCTGTTTTATTAAATTTACGAATTATTTTCGAAACGGTGCCTTTTAAATGTTTAAATTTTTACTTATTTGAATTTGTTTATAACCGCTCTTGTATAATTCAACTATTTTATTTTTTAAATCCGTAGAGAAATATTTAGACTTGGGCATGATGTTTATATTTATCTGAAGCAAATCGTACCGTTTATCAGCTTAAACTAAATAATTTTAATGTATTTATATATGGTTTCCATACTTTTGGCCACAAGAAATCTATTGTTCTCCTACAAAAACTGCTAAACAGATTTTTTTCGCTGTGTAACTTTTGGAATACTTTTATTTGCTGATAAGCTGTTCATTTATATTCCTGAGAGTTTAAGCATAGCAATATTTTCTGTGATATTTTAAAAAGTAAAAAGTCTTTTGGCCACCACTGTATATAAATATGAGCACTTATTTTTTATATTCACTCACCCTTGTATAGTTCATGTTATACATAATATATCAGTGTAGCTACTTTCAGTCAGAATAAGATTTGAATAATTTATCAAATTTCAGAAAAATGCCAAACTTATTTTAAAAATGTCAAATTATATAGATATAATAATCTATTATATTATAATAGATTATTATATTATATTTTGGAGAGACCTTATATAGGAGATATATTATTTTGGAGACCTGAAGTAAATAAATAAAAAAATTTACATAAATAAAGTGTCAAAAAACATTTCTTGGAAGTCAGCTTTGGAAGAATATTTTTTTCCTCAAAATGTATGCGCATCATTCCAATCGGAATAACTTTTCTTAAAATATCAAAAAAATGTATTTATTTTTTTAAACGTTGATGCCATCTAGCGGACAAACAAAGCGCTTTTGTATAGAGGTAAATTGTGTCCAATGAACTTATTTTGATTCCAAAAATTAGTAGTGGTTCTATGTCTACGAAATATTGGGACACCCTGTATAACAAAAAATGTTGTTTACCTCGAAATAATGATTTTGGCACTTAAAACATTATTTACTTCAAGTCTTCATTTGTACTCACGAAGTGACAAGCTACGAAAGAATTATACAAATATCTAAGAAATCTATAAAAGCAGTACTACAGGCATGCTATTCTAAATAATAAAAGCATTATGAATTTACGTACAAAAAAAAATAGCAACACCATTAAAAAAGCCAAGACATTAACTCTAAAAGCATACATATACAAATTAGATCAATCAGGCAAGTAGATATATCCGTTTAAATTTACAACAATAATAACAAGTTAAAACCAAATGAACAGTGCAATCACTAGTTTCGATTATGAAGCGCGTGAATTAGCAAAGCGTGTGAATGTGCTAGCTAGCGTAAGCTCGATGATATGACTTGGTTACTTACTCTGCAGGGTTCCCACAGATCCCTGCTAGCCAACCTCTGCTGAGACCCGCTCCAAGAGTACGACTGAGATGAAAAATGGATCATTTAATTTTAAATGAGAAAACACCCAATATGAGTTTATGATGTTCAAATGAAAAACACGAATATAAGTTCTAATATTTACGATCCTATAATGGTAAAAAGTTCTGGAGAAATATCCGCATCAGATTTTAAATCAGAGAGACACTAATTAAAATTCCTGATATTGCATTGATTATACAGGGTGGTCCGAACTGTATTCCGGAAACCTCGGCAGCATAATTTACTGATAATAATGAGTAAAAAAATTTATAAATAAATGTATGTTCTAAAATGTTTAGTTTCGGAGATACAGGGTGTAGAAGTTTCATTTTTATTTCGATTTTTTCGAAATAATTTCTGATGTAACGTCAATATTTGGATGAAAATTGGTGTCTGGGAGTTCTTTGACGTGAGAAATTTGATTTTGATGTCAATGCGCTCCCTATTTGTACGGGGCGCCACCTACATGTGTTTAAACTGTTTTGAAGATTAATAACTTTTTGTCCGTACCTGTATAAAACTACTGAGTGAAAAATATACATTTCCGTGATTTTCTACGTAACAAATGTGTCTTGGTAAAAATCGCTAAGAGCAACCGTTCTCAAGATATTTAGAATGGAAATAGTCAATACATGTCATTATTGACTAAAAATAAGTATGTTGACTGAAATGAAAAATTTGGGAACTTTTTATTTTTTTAAACTTATCATAAATTTTTCTTCAAAAAAAATGACAATAAAACAGTTTCTGTTGAACTTTTGGCACAAAAACATTTCAAATTTATGATTTCAGTCCAATAACTATTTAGTCTCAACCTTTGAATAAGAAGACTAAGGAAGGAGCATATCAAAAATCTTAGGTACACCGCGATGGGCCTCAAATATGGCCGACTTAAATTCCGGTTTATCAGTCTCGTTCTAATTTTATTTAAAAAATATAAAACTATGATGTAGGTTAGACGTGGGATAGACTCAATAATTTTTTGTTTTATTTTACGTTGTGAATAAATGTTGGTAGTTATTAAAATTGTTATAAAAATATATAATTCTAATAAAAATAGATAAGTTATAATAAGTATTTATTAACACAAACATCCGATACGCTACTGAAGCAGGTAAGTCAAATTAACGTATCTAAATTCTTTTGACATCTAATCTTTGACAAGTAATAAATAAAAGCTAAAATGCAAGAAAAATATATAATTTAGTTAATTTAAGTGAATTTCATAAATGATCGGTTTACTACACGTATGTATATTATATAGTCGCTTACTAGCGAAAAGTTGTTCCATTATTTCACTCAATTTTTGCCGAGATCTACCGCACGCTACACAACCAACTATTTTAGAGTCTTTTTCGATAAATCGTGATAGTGTCACTGTTAATTTAAGTTCTGCCACAATTTCCATCTAGATTTACTACCTTTATACAACTATCAGTAGTAGAATAAATAATAAATAACATAAAATAAGCTCCGTAAAGACTGACAAATCCACAAAATTTCAAATCAAATTCAAATGTGTCAAATGAATCGTCAAACAGAACTGTCAAGGATCCCCACCCTAGAGAGCTTTTATGGTGGCTTTTCCGCCCACCATGCATAAATACATGGATAGCATTATGCTCCTTCCTTAGTCTTCTTATTCAAAGGTCTCAACGTATGTTTATTTTATGTCAATGATGACAGGTATTGATAACTTCGATTCCAAATATCTCGAGAACCATTACTCGTAGCGATTTTTACCAAGAGACCTTATTTACGTAAAAAACGTCGTAAATGTATATTTTTTTAATCAGTAGTTTTATACAGGTACGGACGAAAAGTTATTACTCTTCAAACCAGTTAAAAAATATGCAGGTGGCGCCCTCTACAAGTAGGAGTCATATTGACATCAAAATCAAATTTCTCATGTCAAAAAACTCGCAGACACCAATTTTTATAAAAATAATGACGTTACTTCTGAAATTATTTGGAAAAAATAGAAATAAAAATGAAACTTCTACACCCTGTATCTCCGAAACTAATCATTTTAGGACATACATTTACACAACTTTTTTACTTATTTTTACCTGCAGAATATGCTGCCAAAGTTTCCGGAATACAGTTCGGACCACCCTGAATTTCATAACTATATCTTTTTATAAAAATAAAGAAAAATTATGAATACAGATGGTATTTTGATTGACAAAATCAGAAAACTAGGTCAAGGCTAAATTTTTAAAAATGTTGGCATAATCGTCAAAATTAATGAACGCTATTTTGTGTTGCCATAACTCGAAGTTCGACAAACGCAAATGTCAAAATAACGTCAGCGCTAATAGCGGAATTGCGGCAGTATTGGACTTTGCCATATCTCTCTAATATCGATGTTCACCTCTCTAACGCAGTTTAAAGGCAAAAGGTGCTCAACACGATCTGTTTCCTGTTCGAAATAATTGAGCAGAGACCAGAGAAGTTGCCGATTCCGACTATTTAGTGGTTTTAGCATTGTATTGCAATGAAACCCGCAGTTATAACTAAACAAAACACATATTTAATTTCATATTTGTCCAAAATGATAAATATCAGATTTGCAAAGAAAAATGACTCAAATGACAAATCCATGACTTAGTATCACGATTTATTATTTAATATGCTCTCTTGTTACATAATAGTCTTTTAATAAGAGACTATTCTCCAAAACCAGTCACCTTTTTTCATTAAAATATTGCAAATACCAGAACTTATTTATATTTAACATTTATTATAATTTAGTGCTGCTTAGCTAATAAATTTTGAAATTCTGTATAACATATATCACGATTCGCGTAGATACACATAAAATTTGACTAAAAAACAGAAAAATAACCATGCCAAGAAATAGTTCAAAACACTTACGTCTGAGGGTCTCTTAAACGAATCATATGACCTCTCTGAGCAGACACTTGAGGTTTCTGATTCATCAGAATGATTATCCAGTGATCTCATGCTTTTCCTTGGACTTCTATAGAGAGTTTCGCCTGAATCGTTCTGTAATATTATATTTAATGTAACAGTATTGTAATATACTACACACACCGGAAAAATCTAGGGATATCATTTTATTAAAGTTAAAAATAAATGTTTTGAATAAACAACCACATATTTGTAGGCCGATTCTTTCTACTTCGATTGAAACGAAGTAGTCACACTACTTATTTCTAAATTTGGGATATTTGCAGAAGTGTTTGTGCATTTTTTGTCAAATGTATAAAAAGCACCTAGCATCAATCGTTCGAATTTAACCTGTACTGGCTATGTTTTTATGATAACTGGCCAGAATTCATTCAAATAACTCTGTTTAGTATTAAACGACATTATAGAGCGTAGACATCTTAACAGAGACGATATTATGCTAAGGGCCATGGGTATGCTCGAAGCTGGAATGCGCCAAATCGACGTAGCTAGAGCATTAAATACAACGCAAAGTGTAATATCGCGATTAACTGCACGCTACCGTGAAAGTGGTGATGTTGCTGAAAGGCACACAGGGCGACATCGCATTACTACCCCTCAGCAAGATCATTTTTTACAATTAAATGCTCGACGCCGACCGACTCTTAGTTTAATTCTCCAGGAAACACATAATGTAACCGTTAGTCCTGACACTGTTCGCAATAGATAAAGAGAGGTCAACTTAGAAGCAGACGCCCCTGGAGAGCTCAACCCTTAAAGAGAGGAAATCGAGAGGTACGATATTTGTGGGCTCAAGATCATGTTCAGTGGTCGAATGAACAATGGGACAATGTTCTCTTCACGGATGGTTCACGCTTTGGAATTCATCCGGATTCGAGAATGCTTAGGGTATGGAGAGAACCGGGAAATCTTATTCGGTTGGATCATGTTCAGGAAGTGCACCCTTATCAAGGTGGAACAGTTATGGTCTGGGGAGGAGTCCAGTTAGGCCAAAAAACCGATCTCGTTTTTCTTGAAAGGATTCTAACAGGAATCACATATCGTGATTTAATTCTTGAGCCTGTCGTGTTACCATATGCCAATGATTTTGGGAGAAACTTTATTCTCATGCATGACAATGCACGGCCTCATACAGCCAGAGTGGTAAGTGAGTTTATCAATGCTCATCAATTAAACATCTTACCCTGGCCGGCACAATCTCCTGACCTCAACCCCATCGAGCACGTATGGGACGCGGTCCAAAGAAGCATTTTGAGAATGGGTATGCCTCGTGAAACTCGTAGGGATCTGGTTCGGGCCGTGAATGCAGCGTGGCAGGCTGTACCTCAAGAAGAGATTGACAACCTGATCAGGAGCATGGAGAGACGATGTAGGGCTGTAATGAACAGTAGAGGAGGCCATACCCTTTATTAAGTAAAAATGGTTTTATCTTTTTTTTTTAATTCACAGTTTAGAATAAAAAAAATTGTGTATTTTTCTGAATTCAATAAATATCAATATAAATTTGGAAATTTCGGTAAATTTCGCATTTTTATTTCCAATACGTCCTGTAAACTATTTGTTTATTTTAATTTTATTATATCAGAAATGCAAATAATAAAATTACTGACGATGGCTGGATAAAATTGTAATATCCCTAGACTTTTCCGGTGTGTGTATTTTTATTTACAAAAATCTACAAATTACTATACCATAACTAACGGTCATAATAATAGTATTTTAACAATTTCTAAGATGACTCACAAATGCGTCTGCCAAAGCAGTTTCGGCTTCCCTGCTCTGTTGCAAAATTTTCTGGGCCAGTACAGGTCTGGATGCCGGACTAAGAGGCGGCCTATCCGTTCCTCTTCTAAACCTGGAAAGCCCGGTTCCTCTACTGGGACTGGTTTCTCTGGAAGTGTCTCTTGAACCTAAATAATTTCATACAATCGCTTATTTCTTGAAGAAATCGAAACAGAGATTCAGACATAGATAAGGAAATAAATTTAGATTGGAATGCCTGTCAAAATTTTGGATCGCGACCGTTGTACGCGATCTGGCGCTGCTATAGCGGTTGCTAAGAACAACCGCAAATAAAAACAGAAATAATTTTCTCTTGTCAAAGTCAGGATCTTCAAAAATTATAAAATCTAAACCGCTCTCATTGAAAAAAATCCGAAAAGTGTTTAAAAGTGTTCGTCCGTTTTCAAAGTAATTATTGCTATCTTGTGACTTTAATTTAAGTTTTATTTACTCAAACCCGTGATAATTGTGAAAAAGTGGCATTAAAAACTTAAAAAGCTGTGCTGTGAACTGCAAAAACCATCGTGGATCGTGGCATAACGTCGGTTTCCAATGTTTTATAGGTATTTCATACATGTCCTTAAATAAAATAAAGTTTCTTGTATGCAACACACTGTATTTTATTTATAAAATTAAAAGGAAATAATAATAAATTCGAATAAACAATATTTGCCGATATAATTCAGGAAAAAGATGAACCGCTCCGAAATTATCAAAAGCTTTGGGGCACCTTTGCAAGAATAGCGCCAAATGGTATTTACATTGTCCTTATGGGCACTTTCCAATCTAAACTTGTTTCATTTATCTATGGATTTAGAGATTGTAATAAGTGTCACTATACGATATAACGATTTGAATAAGAAGACTAAGGAAGGAGCATATCAAAAATCTTAGGTACACCGCGATGGGCCTCAAATATGGCCGACTTAAATTCCGGTTTATCAGTGTCGTTCTAATTTTATTTAAAAAATGTAAAACTATGATGTAGGGTGAACGTGGGGTAGACTCAATAATTTGTTGTTTTATTTTACGTTGTGAATAAATGTTGGTAGTTATTAAAATTGTTATAAAAATATATAATTCTAATAAAAATAGATAAGTTATAATAAGTATTTATTAACACAAACATCCGATACGCTACTGAAGCAGGTAAGTCAAATTAACGTATCTAAATTCTTTGACATCTAATCTTTGACAAGTAATAAATAAAAGCTAAAATGCAAGAAAATATATAATTTAGTTAATTTAAGTGAATTTCATAAATGATCGGTTTACTACACGTATGTATATTATATGGTTAGTTACTAGAGAAAAGTTGTTTCATTAGTTCACTCAATTTTTACCGAGATCTACCGCACGCTACACAACCAACTATTTTAGAGTCTTTTTCGATAAATCGCGATAGTGTCACTGTTAATTTAAGTTCTGCCACAATTTCCATCTAGATTTACTACCTTTATACAACTATCAGTAGTAGAATAAATAATAAATAACATAAAATAAGCTCCGTAAAGACTGACAAATCCACAAAATTTCAAATCAAATTCAAATGTGTCAAATGAATCGTCAAACAGAACTGTCAAGGATCCCCATCCTAGAGTGCTTTTTCCGCCCACCATGCATGAATACATGGATAGCATTATGCTCCTTCCTTAGTCTTCTTATTCAAAGATATAACGTCACTGGATATGCAACCAACAGAGTACTAAAGAAACTTTTGATGCAACCTATAGGCTTGGTGCATTTCAGTTGACTTTAAAAAAATTCCAGTGAAATAAATTTTACAGAATACACAAAAAATGATTTAAAATATTATAAATATTAAAAAGAATAATAAATCTAAAGCACTGAATGTATCTGTTGCATTATTTCTTGAAAATATCTTGCATAAAAATGTAATTCAGGTTGTTTTTATTGGGATAACAAATTAAATAGTGTGTATAGAACTTAATTTTCAAAAAGATGTGACTTCGGGTTTTGTATTTAGACGCCTTAGATTTCAGAAATCTCCCTAAAGCTTAGCCCGATCCTGTAGTGTTAAGTCACACCCAAAATTCCAAATACAAGTGCTTCGATTAAAGCTTGCAGAGCTTCAGCATTTGCCAAAAAATAGCGAGCAATTTCTTACAAAACCATATAAATTATATAATCACTGTAATCACAAAACTTCAATCTTTGTCGGTATTGTAACGGAATTTTAAATTATTTCTTTATTTTCGAGAAAATTTAGTTCAAACATAAGGTATATTTTGTTTGACCATCAAAATCTTAAAAATAAAGAAGTTATCTAAAAATGTGCTACAATGCCGACATAGTATAATCCTTTATCTTTAATTTCCTTCTTCATTTATGTAAAAATAGAGAACAAAAAAATTCAAGCTCGAGTAATATTGTTTGCATCGTTTGTGACGTTATTTCTAATAAGATTGAGGCACTATTATGCTTAACTGACCTTGAGTAGACCTGGGTATACCCGAGGATAATTTTCTTGGTCTTGGAGAATCGTGTTCCGTTGATCTGTTGTAGAGATAGGCCAGACGCGAACTAGGCGATCCCGATCTACTCGTGGCTATATTAATAAAATATACAAAAAAAATGTCGATCATATAAAAATTATACATAGGGAAATCAATAGAAATAGTGTACACGTCATCACGAGGTGTTGTTTAGTAATTTTGATATACAAATATTACGAACAAAAGTACGAATTTTATTGGACATTTGTCAAAAGTCCAAGGAACAAAGTAGAAGTGACAAGATTTCGACGTTTTTTCTTCAGCAATTTTGATGACATGTACGCCAAGTTTTTTTGATTTTCCTATAGCGCAAATTGCATTTGTTTACAATATTGCATGAAGACAAAATCATATTATACTCTTGTTTTTGAAAAAAGCAAGATATTTTTTCTGTACTTACAGGCTCTTAAGATTCGTTGGTACCTAATAATAAGTTCGTTGCAATTAATTGCGTGCGTTAATCATATACGCCATATAATCAAAATAAATTAAAAGTAGTCTGTCCAACAAGGAAAAATTTCGACGGAAGACATAATATGCGTTAAAAAACGGCAAAAAATGACAGACAATTGTCAACTGTCACACGTACTCTCTGGTTGGACAGACTATATTTGTGAAGTAAAGGAGACCTCTCATTTGTCTCATGAAGTAAAGGAGACCTCTCACACGTCTTTGAACCTGGTGTCTAACAATTCAATCTATATTTTAAGGGTAACAGACGTTAATATTGCGAAAAAATTAAGAAGTAGATGATAATATAATATAAAGTCCGAGAAAAGAAAAGACTATTTCCACAGACGACATCCTAAAAATGAACAACAAATCTGTTCATCTTCAGCTTGAGAATCAAAATGGCAGACTTCAACTGTCACTACCATAAATATTTTCTGATTATATTATATTATTGACTATAGACAAGTTCATAGTAACCTATGTAACGTCTAAATAACTTGTGTCTAGCCCTAGCAGGCAACTATTAAGCCCGACCAATCACGTTAGAGTTTTTGACAAACACAAATGAATTAACACCCTTCAAATAACCACGGTAACCAACCTGATTGGTCAAGCTTAAAAGTTGACTGCTAGGACTAGACACTTCTGTCTAAATATAGGGAAATTAAAATAGCTTTGGTTACACATCATAATAGGACCACCAGCAAACTCCATAAGACGACGCGTGGTGTCATTGATGACGTGCACACAAAGTTGTTTTAATTTCCCTATAGATCTAGTTCTCTAATAAGTGAAACGTTAAACACCAATTTGAACTAGCAAGGTATTTAAAAAATGCTGAGTTGAATACCCGGTTTTACAGTTTGTTTAGCGTTAATTGCGGTTTCATTGTAAACTATTTGTCTAATACAATAACCAAAGAAAAAAGTATTTATTGTATACCCGGTACCTAAGCATTATAATTTATTTGAAGCTCTCGAATAGTTACAAAACCATATATTTATATTTAGAATCACTGATAAGTTGGATTTAGCATACAATTTATTCTAATTTCATGCACGTTGACAGCTCTCGTCAGAGAGTGTTGATTAGTCTAAAATAACCACTAAAAAATCGTGTACCTAATGAATAAAAAAACTCAAGCAAATAAGCGGTGTTCGTGTGACAGAGACTTTTTGTAGTTTACCTGTATACTAGCATTCGTAAAAACGAGAGCCATAGAGGCTCATAGTGCATAGGAAGACCTCATTATTATCTGAAATCACAAATGTAAAATAAACCTTATCTTCATGCCATATTGTAATTAAATAATTAATTTTAGACTTTCATTGCATTTATTTCTCGAGGTAGTATAATGATTGAATTACTCTATCATCTACTGATCTGGGTAATCCCAAATCCTTGATCTGAACTTAAGCGGGTAAAATAGCATTGAAGATATACATATTAAAGAAACAAGTTAAAGAGACAAAAAGTGAATTCATACATTTCCATGTGATATTGTTGGATTTTGTATAAAAGTCCATTATATCGTATTACCCTTGTATATGGATTTTTAAAGTAGCTCACAACCTAAGACGTTTATGGATGTAAAGCACCAGATGGAGGGGCGTATTTCACGGTCTTTTACTACAGAAAAATATTTTTTGTTACTCTGAATTTTGAAGCGACCAATAAAAACAGAGAAAATAAAAATCGATAATTTTCGGACTGTGCCAATTGGTTACTAATCGACCAGATACTTTTTATCTATTAGATATGCTATAAAAGCTGGTAATTATACAATTCGACCATTGTAAATACCCGACAAATTCCGCAAGGCCGACGAGGCCGATGCTTTTCACTGATAAGAAAAAAAATGTTTATTTAGATAATTTTCGAGATATTTTTTCTTTCTGAATGCACATTTTTAAAGTATTTTATATTCTTTGTCCGCTTGATCTATTATACTGGTCGCACGTATCGAAGTTCTGTTTCTTCTAGTTTTAAAAAATGTTCTTATTTCTTTGTAGTGGTTGTAGTGTAAAATTAGATTAGTTTTATTAAGTTTAATTATAATGTTTAGTGTAGAATACCACAAATAGTTTAGTAGTGTTTTTATAGTTTATTATTTTGTAGTTAAGCAGTAGGTGAAGGCATAATTTGGTTATTTTTTCTTTTTGTTTGATTAATTAGTAAGTTTGATAATTTTTTCAGTGTAGAATACAAGAAGTAGTTGTGTAGTGTTTTTATAAGAGATTATATTAGTTTATTTTGTAGATGAGTAGTAGGTGAAGGTATTAGGGTATTTTTTCTTTTTGTTTTTCTTCTAATTGTAGTAATTCTATTAAATATTGTGATAGGTACACTATCTCACATCACTATCACTATCTTCCTTCAACTTCGTTGAAAAGTGCATTATCACATAATTTTGGTTTTCTGGTAGTAGAATATACGAAAAAAAATCTGATCAAATTTATTTTAAATTAAATTAATCGAGTCTTATTAATCAAATTAATCTAGTCAAATAATAATAATAGTTAGTTTCTATTACTTTCTAAATACTACACAGGGTGAGTTTCCTACGATCGATGTTCTCTATGGGTATCTCGGAAACTACTGGAGATAGAGAGTCAGTTTAATGGGGAAAGAATAATTGCAGTTTTGTGGGGTCATAAATATGCGCATTTCGGATTTTTCGGAGAAGTTCAAGGCTTACTAGATATTTAGAAAAAAACAAATTTTGGCTATTTTATAACTTGTCTCTAATTCCATTATAATCTACCGTATGATCGAATAAAAACGGCGTCAACGATGGCTATGAAGTGAAGATCGCTGTCATTTTATATGTAAAATTATATGGGAAACATCATCGATCGTCATTTCATAGCCATCGCTGACGCCGTTTTTATTCGATCATACGGTATTTTAGACAAAAAGTTTTCACATAAAAGTTGTAGATAATCACATACCTAATGAGTTTGTGTTTTCTGTTTTTTTTTCTAAAACCTGTCATTTTTGACATATATATAATATATGTAAACCTGTAATTTTTGACATATATATAACGTTATGTTTTTTTTAAATGGAAACCATAGGCCATGACTTCATAAAAAGCGCCATTTTTTAAGCTTTTCAGCGATATAGGTAGGTATAATATGTTTTTTTCGAAAAATTACAAGTTATAGCCAATTATTTTCTTTCTTGGCTAAATTCCATACCAATTAGTTGGCATAAACAATGTAAAAAGTTTTATGTTTTCAAAAAAAATATCGTAAAATTCGTAAAGCACTCAATTTAGAATAAAATAATCTAAGAATGAAATGATTCTTTTATAAACCTGCATTAAATCAAATTAAAATAGGTATGTAACTTTTTTTAAATATTAATTAATAGCAATTAGCATTATCATAAATTATTATAAATAATGTACCAACATATCGAAATAATAATTTCCTTGTTAATACGGTTTAGAATTCTTAAAATAACAGGCAAAAATAATCCACAATTTACAATAAAATAAAAGTTTTGTTTAAATTTCGTAATCAGCTGATCACTATTAAAGTTCGCAGAAACCCGGGGCTATTTTATTACATAACGAAAATAATCGATATTTTTGACTCCGCCCCGAAAGGTTCACGATTTGCCCTCCAGTTGGCAGCACATTTTGTCTAGTCGGTTGAACAACTTTAAGAATATATAAACAAGGGTATTACTTAATTAGAGCTTTGCTTTCATAAACGTTGATTAAATCATTATTTGATATTTAATTATATTTTATGTGTTCAATTGAAAGCTAAATAAAAAACTCACGTTGAGACTGTGAACTGCGACTTCTCGTCCTGCTGACCCTTTCTGGAGATGCAGTGGCGATGACTTCAGGTGACCTTTTAGGTCTTGCTGTTAAAATAACCGAAAATTATGATAAATTGGTTAGGACTATAATTTCTATTTCTTTATTTCCTATAATTTCAAAAAACGTTCTACAATGAAGAAAAACATTGTAATTAAATTAAAAATTACAACATTATCCATACCTTGTTTAACAACCGTTTCATATATAATAACTATCTAATTTTGACATAAAATATGATTATATTTTTAAGTAGTTATCACCTACCCTAATATAGAACAACCATACAGGCTGAGCCAGCGTTCTGAAAATGCTCTATAGCAGGTTTCTGGTTTGAAAGTGTCACATTTTGGTAAACATGCGCACATTTTAAAAATATTTTTGTCAATATACAGGGAGATTCAAATATATTTACAAACTAAAGTTGTATTTTTTATTCACCAAATATCATGCCATATTCCCCGCGCATTTATTTATTTCCTGACATTGTCATTCGATTTGACACTTTAGTTTTGTATAACGAGTTTTCGGTTTAAATAGTGTTGTGATAATTTAAACTTTAAAGTGTTTACTAGTAGACCTTGCAGTCGAACATTGTTCTTTTTAGAACCTCTCTTAGTGCGAAGTGTACAAGATAGCTTAATAGTCGTAAAAACTCATCACAACTTTATTGGAATATTTTGAACGGATAAGCGGTAGTAGTGACCCTTTATGTTCCTTAAGTGCTGTTAAGGAAGTGAGTTTTGTCGATGTAAATAATAACCGTTTATACAGGGTTGTTCACCACATACGACAAGGAGTATTGTAGCTAAACGATGAGATCTTTACAAATTGTAAGTTTTGGGTTCGATGAAGGACTATTAGAGGTACAATTTAAAAATAATTTTACATGATACAGAGTGTCCCAAATAAGTAAAAAATATCTAAGTTGTATTTTTTTAAATGGAACACCCTGTATATTATTACATTTTTAGTTTCTACGATTAAAATAAAGGTAAATTTGATTAAGGTTTATGATACTTAAACCTTACCGATTTTGAAATATTTTCAATTTTGTGAAATTGCAGTAAAAATTTTAAGGCTTCATTTCTCCAAGGGTATCAAAGTGTTTTAATGTTAAATCTCAAATGTCAATATTCCATGGGTATATCGATAAATGAGGTCTAAATTATAAGAAAATGCATTTTCTACGAAAACTTGTAGGGATAGGTAAAAAATGGTATAATACAATTTGATAGACAATTAAATTGTGCATCTGATTCTCCTAAAATATACAGGGTATTCCATTTAAATTAAAGAAGTTATTGGCGTTTAAAGCTAGAAATTATTTAAAATAAATTTTTAGACACTCTGTATAAGGTAGTATTATTTTTATTATTGCAACACAATAACTGATCAATAAATAAACTTCAGTAAATATTTAGTATTAAAAACTTTGATACCCTTGGAGAAATGAAGCCTTAAAATTTTTACTGCAATTTCACAAAATTGAAAATATTTCAAAATCGGTAAGGTTTAAGTATCATAAACCTTAATCAAATTTACCTTTATTTTAATCGTAGAAACTAAAAATGTAATAATATACAGGGTGTTCCATTTAAAAAAATACAACTTTGATATTTTTTACTTATTTGGGATACTCTGTATCTTGTAAAATTATTTTTAAATTGTACCTCTAATAGTCCTACATCGAACCCAAAACTTGAAATTTGTAAAAATATAATCGTTTAGCTACAATACTCCGTGTCGTATGTGGTGAACAATCCTGTATATTTATAATTAATTTATTTTTGTTTCTTAAAATATTTTAATTAAGGAAATATGTAAAAGTGGGCAACACTGTGCCGGTCAAGCTTAATCACGTCACTAAAAATTTATTAGATATGAACTACAGAAGTATCAACCTCAAACCAGAAATCTGACATGGAGCTTTTACAAAACGCTGAGTCACTCTGTATATATATATGACAATTGCATATTAGAATATATACTGTGTTTTTGGGTATTTGTCTATTCATTTGAGTATTTTTATTATTTGTATATGTATTTTAAAATTTCACTTAATGATTAAAAAATCTGCTCTAGATTATATTAAGGATGTTATAATGTATGGAACATTTACTATTGTTATATGTGTTACGAAAATTGTTATATGTATAGAAATAATACAAAATGGGTTAATTGATGCAATAAACTCAAATGCACTAAAAGCATTGCTTTGCTAAATGCTATTTTTCTAATATTAAAATCTACAGAAAAAACATTTAACTAATTTTATAGTATTGGAAATGTTTTTTTATCTAAATACATATCGTCAGCGGTTCTAAATCTAAAGATATATTAAACAATTTATTAAAAAATTCTGTAACTCCATTAAAAAGTATTCTTGTAACAATAACTTTTAATAGATGTTTGCTTATTATAAGTATACCGGGTGCGTCTCAAAAGTGGCTCACCCCTTATAACTTTTTTATTTTTTCAGATAAAAAATTGAGATTTGGTATGTTAATATATGACATAAATTAGAATTGATTGACGTATTCAATTGTTTTCTGTCACTTCTTGTTTCGCCGGAAATGACTACAACTTTTGATTTTTAAATGGTACCCTCGGTTTTTTGTTGCTTTATTCGATACAAAATGATACTCTGAATAGAATGACATATCACATGTCAACTTTGACATTTTCGCATATGGTTTATTTGATATTATAACATGCGACTCATAACGATAATTTGACTCGAAATACCAAGTGTGTGGTATCAAATTATTCGTAAAAAATTGCTTTTTCCAAATATGCTAATGAGCCACCCTCGTTCCATTTGAAAAAATTGAGATATGATTAAAAATACGATTTGGCCATCTTTTAACCAGCCAGGACAAGACACGAATAATATTAGACGATCAAATCTATTTTTCCAAGGCTCCTTGATTAAAAATTAGTGTTTTTAACACAACCATGGCACTCTAGATTGAAATTTAACATTCAATTTTGATTTAAACAAAAATGTCAAAAGTTGACATATATGATATGTCATTCTATTCAGAATGTCATTTTCTATCGAATGAAGTAAAAAAATACCGGGGGTGCCATTTAAAAATCAAAAGTTGTAGTCATTTCCGACGAAACAGGAAGTGACAGAAAGCAAATGAATATGTCAATCAATCCTAATTTATGTCATATACTAACATACCAAATCTCGTTTTTTTATCTGAAAAAATAAAAAAGTTATAGGGGTGAGCCACTTTTGAGACGCACCCGGTATATGAATGAAATTAAAAACATTTTAACTGACGATATGCAGAACATGTAGTATTTTATTATTAAAAATAATAAAATATAACACGCAATTTATTAAAAATAACTGCTATAGACGTACAACGATCGTTCAACATTATGTCATAGTTACGACATATCAGTTTTAGTAAGAAACATTTTAAGTTGCTAAATTTGAATTTCGTTTGACAGCAGCGCAGTCAGTTTTTAATTTTGACATAATCACAAAAGTGACATGACTCCTATAGATAATAGCCCCCCATACACCAGAAGATCGGATCTTGGCCTGTCACGTACTCAGACAGATCAGGTCTGCAGATTTGGCCTGTAAAGTTTTTATTCGCAGGCCAAATCTTCTAATCTCTCGTGATGGGGGGCTAATTTGCAGTGATTTACGAAATTCCGTAATATCTCTAATCTATTTTAATCAAAGAAAAAGTACGACAATATACGACGTAACGTTGAATAATAGTTGCACAGAAATTTAGTTCTGTACCATAGAATAATATAATGCGTCAGCATCACAGAGAAAAAGTAATAAAGAGATAGCATATTTTTACCAAATGTTTCAGTTATACGTAGACAAAAGTCAACTTCCTCTAAATATGTAGCTTAGACATACCATCATTAACATTTAAGAAGGCTAATTAAATTTAAATTTATTTTGGCTTTTAACAGCCCCACTCTTTTATGTATTTTAAACTTCACAAATTTGCATCAAGTCTATAATGTTAGCGCATAAACAAACGCGACTTGCCATCTCTATACTTTTATTACTCTATGCTCTGAGTATATTATTCTATGGTTCTCTCTAGTAAATACCTGAATGAACCTCCCCCTCTGCGAGAATGGACATGAAAAAAAGCAAGGTAGGTTAATCTTACTAGAAAAGGAACATTAGAATGCATGATGATATATTAATGAATGATACGCGACCAAAATATGCAAAACCGCAAATTCTAACGAAAACATACATCAATATGGCATAGTATAGTCTATAAAATGAATAACTTTGAATTTTGACCGTTATTTTTTACCAACATGGCAAATATAAAATACCTCTGTCAATAAAGTTACTGATATTCTTTAAATTGAGTGACTGAACGAATCAGATAGGTAACTCTTTTTACTTTCGTGAAATAGAAAAGGAAAATTATAAAACAAGTCACAGTTCTGCCTCTTCTTGCAAAAATCAACACGAAATGGCATAATTGTCAAAAGTCAAATGTCATCAGCTTTTGGCATTTCTAAATATCAGACCAATGCCGTCTCTAATAGAACAGCCACGGTTTGAGATTTATGACGTCACGTTAGTTAGATACTACGGATTAATAAATATGTTGTAGAATACATGGAAAACATAATTATTCCTCGTGTTTTTGGTTTGTATTTTAAAAATGATATAGTTTACATGAAATATACATAATATACAGTTAATAAATACAATATATTATATACCTATTTATAGTAATAAATACTTTGGCAAATAAACTATGAACCATACAAATGCAGCAAATGTTTTACAATATAAAAATAACGAATAGGTACATAAGATAATGGGTAAAATGTAAAATATATTTTAAATTTTGATTTGAAAATCGATTTAATTTAACAAAAAAAACATTCAATATCTACTAATAGTGATGTATTATTATTTGCATTCACAAAATTTATATGTATATTGTGCAAGTATTAATGTTCGAAAAATAATATTTGCAAATAATACAATATCATAGAAAAAAAGGTGTCAGAGATGGCTATGAAATAAAGATCGCTGTCATTTTATATGTAAAATTATTCTAAAATTTTTGATTTTCTTGGGATTTCGGTTCGGGAAAAACGCTGATTAAGTTGTCATTTGGTTTTTCATTATTTTTGTTGGTTTAAAATAAAAAAAAATCATATGACACAGCACTGATTAAGGCTATAATGTTAGCCGAAACGTTTTTTTTAAACCAAAAAAAAATAATGAAAACCCAAATGAAAACTTAGTCAGCGTTTTTATTTATTAAAGTTTATATATATATATATATATTTTTTTTTTTTATATTAACTTATTTATATTAACTGTACATAACTGTATATTATGTATATTTCATGTAAACTATATCATTTTTAAAATACAAACCAAAAATACGAGGAATAATTATGTTTTCCATGTAGTCTACAACATATTAATCTGTAGTACGTAACTAGCGTGACGTCGTAAATCTCGTTCCGAGGCTGTTCTATTAGAGACGGCATTGCGTCAGCATGGCTGCAAGTTGCTAACCTAATAAAGTTAACACTAGAAAAGCCCGCGGGAACTGTCAAATTCAAAGTTATTCGTTTCACAGACTATAAATGAAACTACCTTAATTATAAACAAATAAATGACAGGACAAATTATTTTTTTCTGATATGTTGGGTATGCTGATTTTTTTGATAATAAGAATCAGAATTTTGATAAGAAGAATCCTAAGTATGTAGTATTATTTAGGTATGAGCAAATTACCGTTTTTGAATTAAATCAAAAATTATAAAATCAGTTGGACCGTTTTAAAAATATGTCCAATTTTATGTCAAAAATTACATATTTGCAGTTGAAAATTAAAAATTTTTCGGCACGGGTGCACGGGTTGTCTATTTTTAGAAAAACTCATAAAAAGTATTTTAACGTAAGTCTATTTTAACCTTCAATTATGTTCTTTAATGTTATTCGACCTCAAAAGTATGCATAATAGTAAATTCTTTGCTAATAGTGATATGCAAATGCAAGACCAAAACTCTTCTTGGTCTTGGTCTTGGACTCTAATAAGTACTCTTGGTCTTGTTGCAAGACTCTCACAGGTCATGCTCTTTATTATATTTTTACCAGCACTTTCTGTATAGAACTTCTTTAAATAAATAGTATTTTAAGTAATTTAATGCAAATAAAACTATAAAAAATTCGAGAAAACACTATTTTCAATAAATTAAAACAATTTTGAACAAGTAACTTCATACATATTTATTTATATGGTTCAAAAAACACGAACGCTTTAGCTAATACGGCAACATGCGGCATGTTTCAGATACCACTCGCCGGCAACAGTTTTGAAGAAACTTCTTTTTTATCATTTTTTACTTAATAAATTATAGTGGGGAGGGGCAAATAAATAAAAATTGCGTTATTTTTTTTATTATTTATGAAAAGTGAGATAAACATGAAAAAAAATTGCAAGACTGGGTCTTGGTCTTACATTGGTCGGTCTTGGTGTACTTTTTGTGTAAGACCGCAAGACAAAGACCAGTCTCGCTAATTACTAATTGCTAAAATGTAGAAAATATAAATTTATAGTTCTACAACTTGTAGACAAGCAAATTTTATCAAAAATAATGTCCTAAAATTGCAACTCAACTAGTCTTGCCGATAACTACTTAATTTTATGCAGAATCCACTGACAAACCGTTCTTACTAAAATCTACAAAATAAATATTTTTTCTTTTTTCCGCAACTTTTAAGAACGAATCAATGTCGAAAAATATTTATTATCCCCCTTCTGTTGTGTAAATGTAATTTTTGACATAAGTTTGAAAATATAAAAAAAAACGGTAAACAAAATTTGTATAAAACATACAGAAAATGTACCATACAATCGAAAAAAAAACGGCGTCAAAGACACGCTATGGAATGACAATCGATGACAATTTTGGCGAGGTCAAGCCCTAGACGTCATTCATTTTAATCGCGCTTACTGCTAGTTGGCCTTAACAAAGTTGAAATTTTTTATAATGAGTAAAAATTACTTTAAATGGTGTAGTGTTAAATTCGTGAAAAATATTTTTTTGGAAATAGATTTGGGTATCGGGAAACTTTCTATCCTTTCTAAAGATGTCTATAGATTAACCTCGACAAAATTATCATTGTGTCATTTCTCAGCTGTCCATCACGCTGTTTTTTTTCGATCGTGCAGTATTTAGACCTTAATACCTTATTTGTATTATATTAACTCTAAAATTTTAAAATTAACGTAGATTATGAAAACTTCTTCAAAAAAATGAAAATAAATTAAAGTTATCAATATTTATATGTAGTAATTTATGTAATAGCCTTTATTAAACACTAATATACCTAACAACTATCTAATTATTCAAACACCATGCACAATGAAATGGATTACTGTTACTATGCTAGGCGATGCAACTGATTAAATGAAGGAATTGAACCTACGAAGGCTTGCGGTGCCCGAATGAATTTTGTTCCTCGCCATAGCCGAATACTGTGCCCTCGCCTTAGCCCTTTGTGCTGCCTGCAGGTCGATGGCCGAATTGCTCCGGAATCCCTTCTTGTTCGCACTATCTACAAGTAGAAATAATCCAGCTATTACCCTAACGCCTATGGTGAAGATTAACGTGATTGTATGACAAGGTTAGGTGGCCGCTATTGTTTATAAACATAAAGCTTTTGTGGTCATCAATAGGGTAATATACACGTATACGTATAATGGAATGAAGGTAAAGAACTAATATTTCAGTTAGCATTTTACTATGCATACCGCTCAGTTGTTGTACGAGGTTGTCCTAATATTCCGTAGATATAGAACTACTACGTATTTTTGGCATCAAAATAAGTTTCCTTACCAAATACACCTCTATACAATAGTGCCTCGTTTACTGTACAGGGTGGTCGAAATTATTCTATTTTAACAAAGAAAACCTATTTCCTGGCTACATAGAGCAAAACCGACATAGATGTCATGAGCTCGATTTCTGAGACATGTTTAATGGCGTAAACCGCCTGTTGATATTTTCACTGCCAACAGAGATACGGGGTCTTTTTGAATTTTTTACCATTTTGAAAATTGCCCATAACTTTTTTATTTTGCGGAATAATAAAATTCTGTAAAAACGTTTTTAAGACACTTTTTTAAGCACAATCCAGTGGCGTAGTCAGTTTTTTTCTATGCTTGTTCTTTTTGTCAGAAATAATAAAAAATATACTTTTCTAAATGGAAATCATAGTTGGCTAAGAAGTTAAAAAAATGCTGGCGTTTAACCCTTTCCAACGATATAAAGTTATGGGTATCTATTTCTAAGAATGAGAGAAATATTAGGTTTTTTATCTTTATATCGAAGCGGGCCCTGATTTTGTATTGACCTATTTGCCTAATTATTTTTATCACAGTTTAATATTCTGTATTATTATTTACCTGCATAATTAAAGACTTTTGAAAAGGTAAATTAATAATATAGACTATATTAGTATTAGTATAATAGACTATATTAGTATTAGTAATTACAAATGAAATTAATACAATAAACAAGATGTAAAAAAAATCGTTCTTACTGGGGACACTCGTCCACAGGACATCTGTACATAAGATAATGTCTGTACATAAGGCACTACCCGTACCTTGGAAATAGTCCGTACCTTGGACACAGTCCGTACCTTCGACACAGTCCGTTACCTTGGAAATAGTCCGTACCTTGGACCCTCGAAATACTTCCGAGGGCTCAATAAATAATAAACAACATGTCCTTTCTTCCATGTGACATTCTGGAGGACAAAAGAAAAGGGACGCCAACGTGCCAGCAAAATACAAATACAAGTTGGGACATCCGTAACTCTACCCTGTAGCCTCGAAATAGCAGCTGATTCAAATTATACAGCAAGATTTAAATAATCGCTATTTCTAAAAGCTGGGATACAACAGAGCGTCAAAACAAAGTGAGGTTAAGCACGGAGAGAGTTGACAGAAGCGACGTTGACAGCGCGCGCCTCCACAGAATAGTAACAGGGTTGTGTCGAACGATAACAGGGTTGTGTCGAACGATAACAGGGTTGGCGACTAGGGAACGTAAAAATTGCGCGTCAAATAAACTATCCGGCCTGAACGAGAGGGAATCCGGTGATGATAGGCCAGACATCATATATTATATATAAAAAAGACATGTAACGAACTAAAAACGTTACAGTTTTCTAAAAAAAAATCATCAAAGATGTTCAAACTGAGCACTTCCTTGTTGAATAAATAAACGTCTTTTACGCACAGTGTTATAACGATTTATTAGGTGAGCTGGTGTAATAAGTCCAAAAGCTTGCCTAGTAGCGTTCTGCTTGCCTAGTAGCGTTTTGAAGCTTTTGTCAAACAATATAAAAATACACGGACATACATGGAAAAAGTTGGTTTCAAAATGAAGATCGATGACTGTGATGTTGCCTTCATTCCACTACACGGTATACATCAGCAATTTTATCAATCTACTGCATTCTATATGTTAATCAATTCTGAGTATATCTCAAATTACACAAAAATTGAAAAAAAGAAATACATTAAATACTCCTTTTTCATATGAGAAAATTTCTGAACTCGACCTTAAATTTAACTAAAAAATCAAAATTAAAAAATACTATAAATTAACAACACTAAACAAGAAAAAATCTATCAGTTTTATGATAAAAAGTATTTTTTTATAAATATTTGTGCTTGTCCAAAAAATTAGTCGATTGCCATAAAAATAGAGGCATCAAAATGTTTTTAACCCCTCAAAAGTCCCATTCGGTCCCAGTGGGGGAAGTTTGAAAAAACCGCCGCCATCTTGGATTTTTTCATTTTTTTTCAGCATTTTTTACGAATAATTTGATACCACACACTTGGTATTTCGAGTCTAATTTTCGTTATGAACCTCATGTTACAATTTCAAATAATTGACATATGATACGTCATTCTATTCAGAGCGTCATATTCTATCGAATAAAGTAAAAAAAAATAACAAGGGTGCCATTTAAAAATCAAAAGTTGTAGTCATTTCCGGTGAAACCGGAAGTGACCGAAAAAAAATCGAATATGTCAATCAATCCTAATTTATGTCATATACTAACGTACCAAATCTCGTTGTTTTATCTGAAATAATAAAAAAGTTATAGGGGGTGAGCCACTTTTGAGACGCACCCGGTATACTGTTAACGCAAAAATTATAGCTGATTGGTTTAAAAAAACTGGAAAATTTATAAAACGTATAGTAAAAAATTGCTCTATCTCTATTACTATTTATTTTAGAAAAAAAATTATTGAAGGTAAAATATTCTAAATCTAATTCTCTACAAAAAATATGTCTTTAGTTTTTTCGAAGAAAGTTATGCAAACGGAGATACTTAAAAAAAACGAAAAAATCCAAGATGGAGGCTGTTTTTTTCAAACTTCCCCCACTGCGACCGAATGGGACTTTTGAGAGGTTAGGTTAGGAGATCATTATCTACATATTCCCGTTGAGATTGGTTGGTTACTAATTTTTTCCACCTTTACATATAATACTCGGCTCCTTTATTTATTCCGAATTTACCTGTCATTTAAAATGACAGGCAACTGTCACTGTCATATATGTTCTTGTTAGACAGTCTTTTCAACCTTCATAACTACTGCCCTGATAATTTTTTATAAAAATCTAGTTTTTTCAACAAGCAGAATGTTTATAAAGACTTACTTTTCCTCATAAAATCGACCTCTCACCAAGTCTTGAATGACAAATCTTGTCGATGCAGATTGTGTTGACAAATTCTTTAAACTTTTAAATAACATTTATATGACATAGAGAAACATTTATATTGACAACAGTTAAAACAGAACAAATTTTCTAATTAATACAATGAAACAAAAACATTGCATGCGCTTTCACTAATACTGTTATAAGTATTCATTAGGGAATTAACGAATCTACAAAAATTAGCTCAAAAAATAAACAAAAAAATATTCTAAATGCTTTTAAGAATAAAACGTAAGAATTTATTTTTAAAATGTATTTAACATATCTGCCTAATACATTTATGTACTTAACTCATACCGAATATTAAATAGCTTTCATTATTTCATATTTAAAACACAACTTTGATTATTATTAATTTTCACACCATATTTGCACAATAATTGTCTACACATATACGACCGTGCACAAAAATGATACTACACAAAAGCAGCCTATTTGAAATTAAATTATAAAAAAGGATTATTGTAGAACGGTTACATACTATCTGCTCTTGACAGAACAGGTATACCACTACGTTGCCTATAGCTTCGTGGTAAAGATGGCGCTCTATGCAAACCACCACATGCGCCGGCCAGATTTTCTGTACTGCCTGTTGTTATCCAAACATAGCAGCGTTAAAAAATTACATACATTGTTTTAATATTCTGACTGATTATGTAATATGTATCTTTCTAAATCTTGGTCTCTTTCTTTTAATCCTTTCGTCACTAAAAATACTTGAAACACAAAAACATACCAACACAAACAAAGTGAAAAAACTACTCTATTTTAATTACACAGTTAATTTTAAAAGCCAGCATAAGAAACTCTTATACGGTGCTGTCAAAGCAATTGAGCGTCCGGATTGCACAACGACCTTAGCGCGTGGCCGCGGGCAGCCCAGTAGGCAAGCGAGACCGCGACGCGCCGATTTAACAAAATAAATAATTTTAAACCTGCCGTCATTTCGTTAATAATTATCGTAGTGTGTTGATTTTTGCATAGAAGTACTCATGAGTCTTTAGCGCTTCCGACAAGCCTAAATAACTGGATTATTTTTTATATTTTCGATTTGTTTACATTGCCCGAGCATATTATATCTTTGAGATAAAAATGTCTGTTATAAATTTTAAAACTGCCAGATATGAATACTATCATTTAATTAGTTATACATTTAGTTACAACATATTCAAAATTTAGGTCTATCGGTTTATGCTAGCAGTAATAACGAGTATAAATAAAAAAATGGTCAGTACAACGCTCGCCGTTTTTAGCGCGCGTTCAGCTTTGGTTTTAGTTTTAGCGCTATTTTTACAGAAAATAAATTTTGAACTTTGATCAAATGACAAGAACATTATCATTGCCGATATCTCCTGGTTATAATGTAGTTCTTTTTTCAAAATATTGCATTGTTTTAGCTTAAAAAAAACTTGAATTATGCGGCTTTTTTGCGAGAGCTACCGGATCTGCGTTAATAAAGAGATGGCTATGTACGTCAATCATAGCCACAATAGATTGTAATTTTACCTCGTCACGAGATTTTTTGGAAATATTGCACTTCCATTTATCCGGATTTCTACTAACTTTTGACCTTTTTTTTCGGTCGCATTTCCCTCTATTTAATAATAAATAATTTAAAAAACGCACAAATACTACTGATAGTAAACAAGCTGTGGCAAAAATTTTCTATACTCCGTATAAACAAAAGACTATCGCAAATACTGTCTTTCGATGGACGTACATAGCCATCTCTTTATTAACGCAGCGCCGCGCCGCGCCGGTAGCTCTCGCAAAAAAGCCGCATAATTCAATTTTTTTTTCTAAGCTAAAACAATGCAATATTTTGAAAAAAGAACTACATTATAACCAGGAGATATCGGAAATGATAATGTTCTTGTCATTTGATCAAAGTTCAGAATTTATTTTCTGTAAAATAGCGCTAAAACTAAAACCAAAACTGAACGTGAACTAAAAACGGCGAGCGTTGTACTGACCATTTTTTTATTTATACTCGTTATTACTGCTAGCATAAACTGATAGACCTAAATTTTGAATATGTTGTAACTAAATATATAACTAATTAAATGACAGTATTCATATCTGTCAGTTTTAAAATTTATAACAGAGATTTTTATCTCGAAGTTAAAATATGCTCGGGCAATGTAAAGAAATCGAAAATGTAAAAAATAATCCTGTTATTTAGGCTTGTCGGAAGCGCTAAAGACTCATGAGTATTTCTATGCAAAAATCAACACGATACGATAATTATTAACGAAATGACGGCAGGTTTAAAATTATTTATTTTGTTAAATCGGCGCATCGCTGTCTCGCTTGCCTACTGGGCTGCCCGCGGCCACGCGCTAAGGTCGTTGTGCAATCCGGACGCTCAATTGTAAAAATGGCCACAAACCGTGGATGACATACAAATTTCTAGAATGGTGCAATCATTTTCCAGGAAAGAGACAGAACCAAAACAGTTTATAGTAGACCACTGACCAACATTTACAGCAGAAAAACTGTCAAAACTGTAGAAGGGTGTATTAACAGGGCATTGTAAGCTCTATATGTCTTCTAAATCATTTTGTCCTTTACTTCTACTTGGAGCATAGGGCTTCAATAAACGCTCTTCAGCGGGTTCGGTTGTTGGCAATTGATTTGACATTTCGCCATGATCGGTTTTAATTGTCCTTTTGAACGTTTTGGACGACCAATTCTTCTCATGCCTTGTGGATTCCATTCAAGCTTTGTGGATTCATTCTGCTAGCCTAACCTAACCTAACTTATCCACCTTCATTTCCTAAGTTTGATCTCGTTTTACACCTGCCTCTGGTTGGTCAAGGTCCATAAATCCTCATTCTGATAGTAATTGGCTAGAATATTCCTACAATATGTCTCGAAAGCCCATATAGTACGGGAGGTGGCGACACTTTTCATTATCCCATTTCATAAAACTCGAGTTATGTTTTATTTTGTAATATTAATACCGCTGATCAAGAAAATGAACTCCTGCCATCTCTTTAGCGGGACAACGATTGACGGCGGTATGCAAAACATGATGAAAAAAAAGTCTAAATGTTTAAAATAATAAAAGATGAAACTTTCTCAATGTTTTAATAACATTTAAATAAGTCATGAAACGCCTTCCTGCCACTTTTTCGGTAGACCTATACACTCCTGCCATAATTTTATTTATGTAAAAAAAATTATCCATTGATATAAATTATCTAAATTTTTAATAAACCTAAATAATAATTTTGTAGAAATGAAAAATGTATATAACTATTTATGTAAATGATTCAGAACGCGCGCATACATGAGTATATAATCACTCAATATACAGGGTGTTTCAAAACAAATGCGAAGAACTTCAGGGGGCGATTCCTTGTTCAAAATAAAGGGTAGTTTGCTTCATAAACGTTGGGTCAAAAGTCAACCATTAGGGAGATATTGCGGTACAAAGATGGCGGAAAAATAATGTTTTTATTTTTTATCTTGAAAAGGAAAAGAGATAGACTAATAAAATTTTATGGAAGCATTACTGTTATGAAAACACACTTTCTGGTAATTTTTTCACTTTTTTAAAATGAGTGGAAGGGGTTGAAATAAACTACCCCTATCATTCTTGTTAACGAAATTTAAAGAAAATCTTATCAAACACATGCAAAAAATTAATTTGGATAGTTTAGTTTGTTCAGAAACTTTTTTATCTCTGTATTTTTTTGATAAATCTCACCGATTTCAAATTAAAAAATAAAATTTAAAGCATTACATGTCAGGACAAAAAACATTTTCTGATAAAGAATCTAGTGGGCTGCTGTAATTTTTTTAGGAAAAAATTTAATCGGCCGCTGTTACTTTTTAGGATGTTCCTAATATTATTTTATTTGACATTACTCTACTGCAATACGTTATTATCTAGATGATTATTATTATCGTTATTATCACTAGATTCTTAATCTAAAAATGTTTTTTGTCATGACATGTAATGCTTTACATTTTATTTTTTAATTTCCAATCGGTGAGTTTTATCAAAAAAACAGAAGAGGTAAAAAAGTTTCTAAACAAACTAAACTATCCAAATTAAAGCATTTGCATGTGTTTGATAAGATTTTTCTTTAAATTTCGTTAACAAGAATGATAGGGGTAGTTTATTTCAACCTCTTCCACTCATTTTAAAAAGGAAAGTGTGTTTTCATAACAGTAATGCTTCCATAAAATTTCATTAGTCTATCTCTTTTCGTTTTCAAGATAAAAAATAAAAACATTATTTTTCCGCCATCTTTGTACCGCGATATCTCCCTAATGGTTGACTTTTGACCCAACGTTTATAAAGCAAACTACCCTTTATTTTGAACAAGGAATCACCCCCTAAAGTTTTTCGCATTTGTTTTGAAACACCCTGTATAACGCATTGAGAACCTTTAGATTTAGAATTTGAAAGCCTAGAATATTGAATATATAAAGGTGTTTCCGCTCAACAACTTTGCCCCTGCCGAAGCCAGGTCCCATCAAATGACTGGCAGGATATGTTTTTTAGTTATCGTAATTATTAATGAAATGGCTAAAAAAAATTTCAACTTTTATAATTTGTATGAATGGATAAATTTTTTCACATAAATAAAATTATGGCAGGAGTGTATAGGTCTACCGAAAAAGTGGCAGGATATCGTTTTATGTCGTATTTAAATGTTATTAAAAAATTGATAAAGTTTCTACTTTTATTATTTTTAACAATGAAACTTTTTTTTTACATAATTAACATATCGCGGTTAATCAGTGTCCCGCTGGTACCCCTGCAGGAATCGATTTAAAAGTTCAGTTTCCAAATTATTTACTTTGTGATTCAAAGCAATGATATCACTGACACTGAGGCACTCTTCTTTAAGGCAGCCAGAACTTTGACTGATTCTCTGCTGACGTTGATGATAATCTATATTCGATACCAATTAAACTTTTAATCGCATAATGTAGGGCGCGATTTTTAAATTCAATGTTGCTAAGCATTCAGCATGGATATATTCGGCGCAGGGCGACTAACGGGAATTTAAATTTCCCGCTGAGGATTTAGCTGGTTTGCTCTGCTGTAAAAAATGTCAAGTTGCCATATTTATTTATTTATTTCCTGACATTGTCATTCGTTTTCACACTTTAGTCTTGTATTAAGAATTTTTTCGTTTAAATTAATTGTATTGTGATACTTTAGCTTAAAAATCTTTACTAGCAGACCTTGCAGCCGAACATTGTTCTTTTTAGAACCTTTTTTAGTGCGAAGTGTACAAGGTAGCTTAATAGCCGTAAAAATTTATTGCTTTATTAGAATATTTTGAACGGGAAAGCGATAGTAATGGCCCTTTATGTCCCTTAAGTGCCGTTAAGAAGGTGAGTTTTGATGATGTAAATAGTAACTGTTTATATATTTATAATTAATTTATTTTCGTTTCCTAAAATATTTTGATTAAAAGAAAATATGTAAACGTAGCCAACGCTGTGCCGGCCAACCTTAATCACGTGATTCACAGTTTATTTGATATGAACTATGTATGACATGTGATTATATTTTAAGCATTTTTCTAGTGACGAAAACTACTAAAAGAACGTAGACAGAAAAAAATCGCAATTAAATCGATGAAAATTAGATAAAGCATTATTGACGTATATAACAAAGCACTTACCTGACGCGCTTTGAGGTGCAGTTTTTCCGTACTGCCTAGGAGTCTTAAAACAACTATTGAGATTATTGTTGGACGAACTGGCCGACATCCCATCTCCTTGCAACGCTCTGCGGTAGCTGGGTTCGAGCGATTGCAAAAGAGCCTCCGCTTGGTCGGGAAAATGATCTCTAAATCCTCGAAATGCCCTATAAAAAATTAATCATAAGTATTTCATTTAAAAAAATAGTTTAAAAGATTTGCTAACTTTCTAGACGAAACTCTCGCCTCGGGATCGGCGTCCGCGATTCCCTTTTTGACGCATTCTTGCAACAGCGCCACGTGTCTTTCCAGGGGATGCGTCGGCCAATGGGAGAGCATTATTTCCACAAACTCGCAACACGCCCTTCGAATCTCTTTGCTCTTTGACGTGGTCGCGTTACTGGTAATGATCGGTATCAGTCGGAAATAGTGGATGTATTTGATTATAAACCTGACGGTTACCTCGCCAGATGTCGACATAATCTATAAAGCAAACGACGTTTATTAAATATATAAACATTAGAGTTCTACAAAAAAAATGGCTGTGCTATATTTTTTTTTATTTTGCAATGTTTTATAATAAAATTTACTGGTAATCGCAAAACAATTTCCCCTGCACGTGATCAACTTTGATTGAAAAGCGATGGCGACAGCGCTGCCAGATTGTGATGGATTTATGAGATGAATGTTAATTTAAAAGTGACAAACAATATATTATTATATCATTTTTTAAAGATATTTAAGTTTTATTTTTAATTTAATAACTAATATTTTAGTAATTAATTGATTTATTTGTTTTATAGCTTATTTTACTTATTTTATTACATATTTACCTTTGAATAAGAAGACTAAGGAAGGAGCATAATGCTATCCATGTATTCATGCATGGTGGGCGGAAAAAGCACCATAAAAGCACTCTAGGGTGGGTATCCTTGACAGTTCTGTTTGACGATTCATTTGACACATTTGAATTTGATTTGAAATTTTGTGGATTTGTCAGTCTTTACGAAGCTTATTTTATGTTATTTATTATTTATTCTACTATTGATAGTTGTATAAAGGTAGTAAATCTAGATGGAAATTGTGGCAGAACTTAAATTAACAGTGACACTATCGCGATTTATCGAAAAAGATTCTAAAATAGTTGGTTGTGTAGCGTGCGGTAGATCTCGGCAAAAATTGAGTGAAATAATGAAACAACTTTTCGCTAGTAAGTGACTATATAATATACATACGTGTAGTAAACCGATCATTTATGAAATTCACTTAAATTAACTAAATTATATATTTTTCTTGCATTTTAGCTTTTATTTATTTCTTGTCAAAGATTAGATGTCAAAGATTTTAGATACGTTAATTTGACTTACCTGTTTCAGTAGCGTATCGGATGTTTGTGTTAATAAATACTTATTACAACTTATCTATTTTTATTAGAATTATATATTTTTATAACAATTTTAATAACTACAAACATTTATTCACAACGTAAAATAAAACAACAAATTATTGAGTCTACCCCACGTCTACCCTACATCATAGTTTTACATTTTTTAAATAAAATTAGAACGACACTGATAAACCGGAATTTAAGTCGGCCATATTTGAGGCCCATAGCGGTGTACCTAAGATTTTTGATATGCTCCTTCCTTAGTCTTCTTATTCAAAGATATTAACAAAAACTAGTCCATTATGAAGATTATTCTAAGCGTTATTATGGGTTATTTATTTATTTACTGATGTACATCTTACAACGCCATAAATGGTAACAAGTAAGAGGGTACTATTAATGCACAAACTAATAGTCACAGAATTTCATAAAAACTAACGTAGAAATAACTTTGAAAGTGGTGTAATGTGCTTATCAATCAAACTTACTTCTCTAGCGCAACACACACATACACTACACAACGCGCTGCGCAAACGCCTGTTGGACAAAAGAATTCAAACATTCTTGAAACTTATCAAACAACTGCGCAACGTATCAAACGTTACCATACATTGGCAACTCGTTGCGCAACAGCCTGTGTTGCGCAATTTGTTCGATAATGTATTTGCCGCTTTATAGTAACATTAAAGCGTTATTACCGTTGCTCGAAGAAATAAGACGCGCAACCTTATGGGCGATTTCGTGGCACAAAACCTGTCCGGGATGTAGCTGGCGATACCGTCGCCGCTAGTCAACATGTCCGATATTTATTATTACAAAAAATCAACAGTAGGCGGGTAAAACCCGATAAAACTATTGAATCCCATAATCACATTTGTCCCTATCACAGTTGAAAAGATAAATAAATATTGCACTACCAACATTCAAATCAAAAAATTATAAATTTAAATTAAACATCACATGTAGTGAATAAAAAGATTGTTCCAGCTCTTCATTTCCACATTTCCGTTTAGCTCTGCGCTGCTGCACGCTGATAGTCGTTTACAGCGCAGCGGATACAGAATACTGTACCATAGTTCTGCTTTTAGTCGACAGAGTGGGCGGTTGCCGGAGACAGTGTTGCCAGAACTACGAATTAATCAGTAGATTTACGAATTTTGGGTACAGTACGTTAATAATACCGATTTTCTATCATTAAACAATTTAATATAATATTATACGATTAAACAAAGAACGGCGTTAGAGTTAGCTTGGAAATGAAGATCGCGGTTATCTCATATGTAAAATATTATGGTAAATGTCAATAATCGCAATTTCCAAGCCAACTAAACGATTTTTTTTCGATCATACGACAATCGTCAGTGAAACGTGGTAACCTGCTAACTCCATTTTTTACGTTATTAAGTTTTTTATACCATTAAAAAAAAAAAATACTCTATAAGTAGGGAAAGCAAACACATTTTTTCCCATTAAAGAAAAAAATTTATTTTAACTCAATAATATCTGCTAACTTCTAGTGATCTGAAATAGCCACCGAAATGCTGCTATCTCCGTAATTTTCGTTACGATCACGCTAAAGCGAACACACAGATTCTTAGTCGTATGTTTTTTTAGTACAGTACGTCGATCCAGGGTCGCACTAGGCCAAAGGGGCCCGGGTGGCAATGTAAGAAGGGACCCGTGTGTTTTTTTGCGTATTTTTTCGCCTTACGTTTTGGTCAATTTTTCCCTATTATATATAGGGTGAGTCTTAAATAAGTGCAAATATTTTTGGGTAGTATATTTCGACCCAAGAAACACGATTATGAGGTTTTTTGCGCGAAATATTTTTTTTTGAATATTTGGAATTTTTTAAAAAAATGTTTGGATTTTTTTTTAATTTTTAGTTTAAAAACATACTTTGTTTGTAATATGGTAACATAGGTAGTAGATTAAATTTACAAGAAAGAAAATCCAATGATTCTCAAAATTATAGCAAAATATTGGAAATTTTAAAAGTGAAATAACTCGGTTGTTTTGGATTTATTTGAAAAAACGGTAAACAGAAAATATTATGTTTCTTTTATCGAGATTTACCAGCCCTGAACATATTTGCACTTATTTAAGACTCACCCTGTATAGAAATCAGGGAACTACCCTAATGCAAAGTAAATCAATGCAATGCAAATTCCATAATGCAATGCAAAAGCAAATATTGTTAATAATAAATAATGAACTAAAAAGGGGACCCGCGAAGGCTGGGCCCCCCCTAATAGTTATCTATATAATATGGCCAGTCCAACCCTGCGTCAATCCGTTCTGTAAATACGGGGTATCCGTAAAGAATAAGGGGAAAAACGAAATTGTTTATATACGAGCAATTCATCGGCGTGCTATAAATAGTTTAAATAACCATTACTTACTTGTACAAGAATTTCCATAATACCTAATCAGTTTTATTTTTTTTAACGTTTTTTCACGTAAATGATACATAATTTTTATAAAAACTAAAAAAATAAGGAGAAAAGTAATAAAAATTTAATAAAATCACGCACTGATCTTCCAAGCGGTCTACTACCGTTGTATAAAAATTAGGATAAGCAGGGAAGGATTCTACCATATCTTCTGAGAATTATAAGTTTAATTTTTAAATTATTTTCATATTCATTAAGTCCAAAATTCTGCTACTTCAGTTCTTTAAAAATGCAAAAAATTTTAAAATTTTTATTAAAAATTTATTCGTTTTTGGTCTTGTATGTTTTGCTTCTAGACCGACGACATTATAAATATATGGTTATGAATATCATATTTTTTAAATTTAATTGATTATTTCTAAATCTGTTTGGGTAATATTCATTTCCATTTTCAAAATTTCAAACAATAAAGGTTGCTATCTCCAGAAGTATATTTTTATTTCTTATTTCTGCAAGACGAATAGCTACTATCTACCTATTGTGTCTGAAAAAAATGACGTAACACGAAATATTGTTTTATTGTTCCCCAGCAAATAAAATTCTTATCTCTTTATCATATTAACGCATCAAAATACTTCCTACATGTGTACATATTTTTTGTACCGTTTTTTTGCCCTCCTGTAAAATTAGGAATAATGGAGTTAGCAGTTTATCACGTTTCACCGACAATATTCAGTACCTATAAAAGATTTTTTATTTTTGTTGTTTATTTTATGTATATATGTTTAACACGAATAAATTTTCAATACATAAACGCGGATTTTTCATATTACAGATATACCACATTTTAATATGGCAACACTGTTTCAGTTCCACACCGTCTTCGATATGCCTTCGCTAGCCGAATTAGAGAAAATGAGTATTTTATACGTTGGCCGCAGAACGATTAGAGGCTCCACCGTACAGCGCTTGAGACGTAAGAGGAAATCAAATCAGCCCTATCACGAGTTTGCCCATTAGGTTGCGTATCTTCCTAATTCTTTCAAACAAGGATTAAACTGTCAAATGGTAACGTCGTTATACAATACCTTTGCGGAATTCTGTATGAGATTGATCAAATGCTGCAACAGCATTTCGGCCATCTTCTCAAACTTGTTGCCTATAGTTTGCGACAGATAGGCGATGGTGATGCAAGCCTCTCTCACCACTTGCGATCGGAGATCTTTCAAGGAACCTTGCAGCGATATGTCTAGGTTTTTCAGACAAACGTAAAAATCTTCGGATTGAGTGGCACCGGCGATGACTACAGATCTGATTTTCTTTAACTAAGGAAAAAAAAAATAAAAATAGGCATCCAAAAACGTTCTTAGCAAATTTTTTTCTTTGTATATTCCGCATAGGAAAAAAGCTTCTTCTAATACTTGTAATGGCAAAAAAAACCGGCGTCAAGTTGGCTTGGAAATGTCATAATTATACAAATGAAATGATAGGTATCTTTATTTCCAAGCCGTTCCTGACGCCATCTTTATATGAAACCATCAGAAGACTTACTGCCTCGACTCTTTTGTTCCAATCCTTGTTCGTATCCGAGATCGTGTCCTGAATATTCTTAAACTGATCTGTGACGTCCCTTGGAGAGAATATTTGTACATTCGGAACATCTTCGAAAGACCTAAGGAATAATTCTTCGTCCACTGCGCCAGCTAAAGAAAAAAAATTAACATATCTCGTAGATTAAAAAGACACAATTGAAATATACCACTTTACTTTATTTGTTTGAAGATAGTAACAATTTTCATTTGAAATTAAACTCTTATGTCATGTTTTGTTATGTCTATTTTCTGATTTACACAATTACAACGTTTCGGATAGTTCACAAAAAAATCTAAACATTCTAAGCTATACAATTCCAACATGAGTTTAAGACACACAACCAAACTTATATGGAATCACTCTTTATTTCTGACTAAATTTCTTGCAAGGATAAAAATTTGATTTTGGTGCTAGAACCAATCGTTAGTCATTGGAGAGCTGCAATTGGGGCATTTTAATTTTAACTTCTTGTAAGATAGTGCACCTCCCTATACCAGCAGAGTGACTAGAGAATGTCTTGAAACGGAAGGTGTCATAGTTTTAGACTGGCCTGCGTGTTCACCAGATCTAAACCCTATCGAACACTTGTGGGACTAGCTCAAAAGAAGGGTTAGAGCTCGTCGAAACAATCCAGGAAATCTTGCACAGCTTATTGATGCAGCATTAGCTGAATGGGGAAACATACCCCAAGACAACATTGATAATTTAATAAGAAGCATGCCAGCGCGGATAGAAGCTTGCATAAGGGTTAGAGGTGGCAACAAGGAGTATTAAAATTATCAATTTTCTTTTTGTTTTTGCTTTTTGGCCATTAAAAATTTAAATCTTAATTTCGTTTTAGAAAACAAAAAAATACCATTTTGTTTATTTTGGGAACTGATTTTTTTTTATTTCTATATGGATTATTTTTCATTAAAAGTCATTGGTAAGGACTGAGTTTTATTCATAAACATAAAATTTTCATACGTCTCAAAAATTATGAAAAATAATAGATGATTCCATATAAGTTTGGTTGTGTGTATTATTAAAGCTTGGGAAATCCGTTCAGCTGTAAGGACGCGAGGACCTCTGCATTGGTTTTCTTTAGAAAGGTTTTCCAAAAGAATAGTATTTCGATGCTTGCTTTTAAAAAGCTTTTTTAAATTTTCGTTTCTTGTAATGCGAATTCTCGTGGTCAACTCTAGTCTCAGACCAGTATATGCACCAGTGATCTAACCAACCATAGTTTGTGATCCATGATTTGGAGTATTTGAGCAGGAAACTAAATTCTAAGAAGCCATTCATTTTGGTGGAGGTTCTGTATGGGGAGGTATAACTTTTGGGCGTACGGACTTGCATGTGTTTCTACACGGCATAATTAATCCTGAACGATACAGAGATGAAATTCTTAACCTATATATTATTCCATTTGCATGGTACAGAATTCATCTTACAACAGGATAATTTTTTTTTTGGAGGTGTAAAATACCTTTACGTACGGAGTGTGGAACTCAATCTCTCCTTAAGCTGTCTGGAGGACACTACCCACTAAACGTCACCCCCTTGCTCCTGCCACGTCTACCTGGACCCGCTGGACGCATCTCCTCAAGTAGCGCCGGACTGTTCTTTTTTTGTCATTACCCCTGCTCTTCGCTGTATTTTGCCTCTAGTATATTTTGGGCCAGTTTTGAGATGGCTTCAAAGTTTTCTCTTCTTTCTGTTACCGATCTTAAGAAGGTATCTGCGGAGATGTTGCCACCAATCGTCATGCGTACCTCACATCTTTCCTGTTCCCATCTTGGACAAGCAAACATTGTGTGTTCTGGAGTATCATTGGGTTCAGCACAGTATCGGCATTCCGCGACTTCCCTCTTTCCAATTTTACACAGGTAACCCCCAAAATTTCCGTGGCCACTCAATATTTAAGTGAGATAGAAGTTTACCTCTCCATGCTTTCTTTTAATCCACAATTTATATTTGGGATGAGCTTATATGTCCATCTTCCTTTTTGTGATACTTCCCATTCTGCCTGCCACTGCTGCACTGTGCGGTTTCTCTCCATCTCTCTGCTTGCCCTGGTTTGTACTTCACCCTTGAGAAAGAGTCGTTCTTTTTCTCTTGAGAGAAGGATGCAAGGGCACCAGACCCGATATCACCAAGGCTGCCTGAGTTGAAGTAGTCCGATACGCCGAGCAGACCCTCAAAGCCATGACTCTCTGTGCGCCTTCAAGTCTTTTTTTATTTACGTGCATATTGGTTGCTTCGTTCCACACAGGTGCTCCATACATAATAATATTCTGGCACGCATATGCTAACACTCTTCTCTTTGCTGGTGTTGGGCCCCGAACGTTTGGCAATATTGCGGACAACAACAGGATAATGCCAGGCCCCATACTGCAAGAGTAGTTACTCGATACCTTCAAGAGTCCAATATCACAATCTGGTGTTTAACCACAGTAAATTTTTGTTATTTTTAATATAAAATTCAATTGAAGTGATTAAAAAGTACCTACTCCCTCATTACAAAAAGAAATGCAACGAATTTACAATTAAGGTATAAATAATAATACAAATTTCACTGGTTTGATATGACGCGTAGAAAATTGTGACATCACCTATCAGCATTTGACTGAATAGTTGACAAAGGGCGCGAGCCTCTGAAGAATAATATTATGGCGTGCCTAGTTCTCTGCTACCGTATTTACACCATATATCTTAAAATTACGTTAGATTTTTCTATTTTTATTAAGATCGTTAAAAACCGTTTTTATGTGGAATTATTCTTTATTACCCCAATATTAAATTTACTTTTATATTTTTTACTACTAAAAATTAAAACTTAAATTTTTATAATAACAGGTTACTGCCATTTTCATCGAAACACTAAACACTACCAAAGTTGTTCGGATGTTCGAGGCGTTCGAAGGTTCGAGGTTAGATTTGTATTTTGTGGATTTTGCGTTTGGCGTTAAATACTTTGAGTTTTCAATTTTGTTTTATTGTACCCTCTTTATTATTTTTGTTAAGAAGAAGGGTGTTAAAGTTTGTTTTGTGAAGGGCTGTCTAAATAACTCTGAAGGCTCTCCAGAAAAAGTTTTTATAACTGTTCCTTTGTATGAAAGCCGTCGAAGAGCCTGGTTTGAAGCGGCAAGACAACAATATGTCAGAAAAAGTACGAGATTTTGCTGTGAAGATCATTTAAATACTATTTAATAAATGCAAATCGTCATGGGATTCAACCTGCGCCTTATTTTGCTTTTCTTAAATTAACATCGGATTCAGTAGTCGGATGCTAGACGTGTCTGAGAGTTACAATGAAAGAAAAGAAACTTTAAAAACAACTACTGTTTATTCCTAACAATAAATTCAGCCAATTAAGTATTATGGTTAGCAACAATTTAACTACCAACCGTTTAAAAAACCTCTCTAAAGAACAATTAATGCATAGCACTTGCGGTACGTCGTAAATGTGTAAATAAGACAACTAAGGAGGATGAAAGTTCGATATTAACGGTTTTCTTTCAAACCAACCATTTTATATTGTTAAAACCCACTTGATTAAAGTTAAACTTACATGCTGATGGTAAGGTAAGTTTTCTGAGTGATCCGACTCTGCTCAAAACTGTTCATGCAGATGAAAAGATGAAAGTGTAGAAATAAAATCGTATGAAAAAAAAACAAAAAACAAAGCAAATTAGAGATGAAAAAATGAAAGTTAAAACAAAAGTAGCCAAGCAAGTTTTAGATATAGTTAAAATATTATGTACAAAAAATGTTGATAAATGTAATTTAAATTGAACTTAATACCGTATGATCAAAAAAAATTGACCGGATGTTGTCTTAGAATTGACGATCAACAAAAAATACAATTTTTTATATTTTATTTGTAAAATTATATAGTAAATGTCATCGATCGTCATTTCTGTGTAATTCTGAGGGCGTTTTTTTCGATCGTACGTTATATTATAATAAGGTATCCTAACAAATTTGCCTGGTAGATTAACGGCAAGATAATTATGTTGCTAACTGATTAACTTTTTTGTGAGCACAATTGGTATAGCATTTGTTAAACACCTTGTAAAAAAACATTAAAACCACTAGAAGCGAAATATAAATAGCCAATAAAGAAAATAAAAATAATATTTCAATGTTTTTAACACCTACAAAAGTAAAAACAAATTTTAAGGAATAAAATAAATCTTCTATGCATATTATAGTGCGATATCCTTAGATTACTAAAATAAATACTCCAAAAAGGTATAGGACATTACTTATATTTTTATTGTTAAATGTTTCATAAATCTAATTGATTAATATTCAAACTACTAAACATTTTGTCACTTACATTACGAATTTACGACAGAGTAGTGATGAAAAAATAGTGTTAATGTCAAAAAAGTAATCCATAGATTGTATACTCCGACTCACGAAATATGACGATGGCGTCAGAATATTCTTATTAGGAAAAGACATGCGGAACAGTATATTTAAATGTGTTAGACTGTTGACTAATATCCAGTATGATGCAAACGTCATCTTTCGTGAACCCGACTATACGTATTTCCCCCATCCATGAATAAATATCAATTTAGTAGCCATAAAGTTATGTTACACACTATTTTCTGAAACTATTTTCGTATCGACAAGGCGATCTAAAATAGATACTAGTAAATACAGAGTGTCTCTTAAATAAGTGCAAGTATTTTCCATTTGCCATTTGTAAAATAAATTGAAATTATCCCATTTAATTCAGTTTATTATTTATTTTTTTTAAGTTTTGTTTTATATTATTGCTTGTATGTATTTAACTCCAAGATACACTTCAATAATTCACAAATCTCAGCAGTTCTAAGGATTATACTTTTGGCGCCCAACGTGGGACCAACGTAAAAAAATTCTCTATAGGCGTTACTGACCACACCAAATACATTTTAAGAGACATACTGTATAGGAATACGGAGTGAAAATATAATTCAAGTTATATAATACTACTTCAAAACTCACCGGCATTTGGAGTGGCAAGACCGGATTTTGGTTTGCTCGCACTTAACGTGTAGGCAGACTTCTTTACAGATAAGGGTGCTTTAGCCATCCTGTCCACTTCGTCAAAATTTACTAAAACACCAAATTAAAATACCACTTAGTGTTAACATTAGTAAAAAAAATCTGTATTTGCTCAGATGATACGGGAATTAACTGCAACAGCAGTGTTATATTATAAAGTTACAAAAAATTATATACAGGGTGTTTCAAAAAACATGTGTCATCTCTCGAGGGGAGATTGCTCACATAAAAATAAGATTTATTTTTTATATAACATAGGTCCGATTCTGCTGTTTCGTAGCTACAGTAGATTAGTCTTCATTTTTTTATTATAATTTTCTTCTAAAGTGCTTTTAGCGATTCAAATGAAATTTTGATATACGTGACGAAATATGAAGTACCACTTTTAATCAGTATTAAACGGCCTACACAATTTTGCTAACAAGAGGAAAAAAAGCAGTGGCGTAGGTAAATGCTTTTTTTAGAAAAATATTCCAGAGATAACCCATATGCACGTCCCTGGTGAATCTGTCGATATTTTAAAGCACTAGAATATGTAACACTTACAGTAACTTTTCCCTCAAAATTTCATTCGAATCGCTAAAAGGCACTTGGAAGAAAATTATAACAAATCGAAAAAAAAATGAAGACTGTAACCCCCTGTAACTACGAAACAAAACAGAATAGGACCTATGTATGTTGATATAAAAAATAAGCCTTATTTTTACGTGAGGAATCTCCTCACGAGAGGTGGCACATGTGTTTTTGTAAAACCCTGTAGATACTATATTGGGTTCCTAAGTTCGAGGGTTGTATAGTCTAGTTGTAAAAAAGATTGGTTTGAAAATCTTCACCCCTTTAGTCTGTATACACTGTATACACATTACACACACGATATTTCCCGTTTCCCTTAAGGTTCATTCAGAACTTCGCAATTAGTGGTTTCAATTACACTTTATACTTTTTAGTTTACAATCATTCACAATATTTAAAAAACACAATTAAAATTAATAGAATATCCGAGCAACAGCTTGCGTTAGGGAGTTGTATCCATAGAGAAAAGCCTAATATTTAGCTTATAAAACACACAATCTACTTTTGATTTCTAAACACAAATTTCTCTTGACGAAAGATAATCAAAGGTCAAAATGACATTTCTCGCAAATTTTGAAGTATAATTTGTGGAAAAGTTAAAAGTCTGATAATTTTATCTACTAATTGAAAATGTGTACCACTAATTTTGACGTTCTGAATGCTTACATTCAAACTAAAGGAACAAACTTCTACGCTAATTGAAACCACTATTTTATTCTACTAATTGCGAGCTTCTGAATGAAGCTTTATCAGTTAAACAGTAAGAATACTTAGCAAACTTCTTACATTCGATATTTTTCGTCGCCGTAGGCAACAACTCCTCATTGTTCTTCACCTCCTCGAACCTGGCTGCCAGCGCCGGCCATTTCGCTTGCGGCACCAGGTTCCTCTTCTGCAAATCGACTCGCAACTTCTCGCCTACGTGTTTGTACAAGTCCACCAGCGTGCTGAACGCGGTGTCCCGTACGGAAGAGGTAGGGTCGCTGAGTAGATTAACTATATCAGGTATGAATTTGCTTAAGGTCAACGAATGAGCCCCGTGTCTGGAAAGAAATTAATTTGTCTTAAATGTTTCAAGCTTTTCACAATGAGTAAAAAAAAAAGAATCTGGGGGCACGGGCCACAGTGGAGTGCATATAATGTAGGCAAAAAGAGGTTGCTTACCCCAGACAATATCATAAAATACTTACGCTAGCCTTATTTTATTATTTTGCAAATTTTTGCCTACCCTGCTTTGATTTGCACTGCACGCCACTGACGGGACAGTATTTAAGTTCTCAGTCGATCTATTCTGAAGCCACTAAAATAGGAATAGTGAAAAGAATCGCGTAATGCTGAATTAAATAATTCTGAATTGGATTTGCTCCACAATGGTTACTCTGAGTCCCTCGACAATATTATATTGGAATATAAGACTCATTAGTAGGCCAGAATGAGGAAGATGCTCTCTTGATGATTAAAAAAAAACTGACTAAATGAAATTTTGGTAAAAATGTTTAAATTTGTTGTATAATTTAAGATACCGAGTAGCTCTCCATTTTACTTTATAGAGCAAATGATTGTAACATATATTTTATTTAGATTAAAGCTGCAAAAATTAGTTTAAACCGAATTTGCGCCGTTTTCCGCACGGTTGTCGTTTATTATTTGACAATAATTATCCTAACGTCAGTCATTATTTTGTATAATATTATGTTGTTGTTGAATCTTTGCGAGTAATTCTAATTTTTTTGCTTATTTTCATAGTTTTTTTTAAATTGTACTTTTAAGCACAAACAGTTATTTTAAGAACTAAATTTTCGAGTTTTTGAATTGCATTTCTTGAATACAGTCTTCAACAGTCGAAGCAAAGAGCTTGTAGCTTCCCTGATAAACTAATTTGAAGGTGACAATAAAGGTCTTTTATTACCCTTGACTGCAGTCAGAGAAGTAAGTTTGATTGATAAGCCACATTACACCACTTTCAAAGTTATTTCTACGTTAGTTTTTATTAAATTCTGTGATTATTTAGTTTGTGCATTAATAGCATCCTCTTACTTGTTATTTACCATTTATGGCGTTGTAAGATGTACATCAATAAATAAATAAACACCCATAATAACGCTTAGAACAATCTTCATAATAGACTAGTTTTTGCCAATATGTAATAAGTAAAATAAGCTATAAAACAAATAAATCAATTAACTACTAAAATATTAGTTACTAAATTAAAAATACAACGGAAAAATCTTTAAAAAATAATATAATAAATATATTGTTTGTCACTTTTAAATTAAGATTCATCTCATAAATCCATCACAATCTGGCAGCGCTGTCGCCATCGCTTGTCACTCAAAGGTGATCACGTGTATCGGAAATTGTTTTGCGATTACCATATAAGCCTTGAATGAAAATAAAGTATAATTTTTGCCTACTTTATAAGCACGCCACTTCGAAATACCCAGCCCTTTTTTCCAGGCTTCTATATTAGTAACTTACTCATTGAGCGTGTTCACCAAACATCTCAACACCTCCTCCCTAATGCGGGCGTTTTTGTGCGTGAACCCCGACGACAGTTTCTCGAACAGGGTCTGGGGACTGAGCACGTTCCTCTCCAGCAATTTCAGTATGAACAGCTGAGATTTCTCCCTCACCGAGTCTTTGGCGTCGCCCAAACGGTCGAGGATCGCCGGCAGTACCGTCTGCAGGTACGGCCTGAAGTCGTGACCGAGTCTGTCCGCCAGGAAAGTGAGGATCTCGATTCCTAAACTAGATACCTGCAAAGAAAAAATGAAGGTTTAATTTTTATATCGATGGAAATGGTACTGGAAATCTGATGAAAAGTTTGATTCCAATGCAAATAGAATAAATAAAAAAAAAACAGCTTCAAAGACGGTTGAGGAATGACAATCTATGATAATTTTGGCGAGGGCAATCTCTAGTCCTTTTAACTATTACAGGATGGCTAAATAAGTTAATTAATAAAATTAACTACTACTAGGTGGCTAAAAAAAGTGAGAGTGGATCGGGAATATTATTAGCGGACCATACCAACAGGTATGGTAGGCTATAGGCTATAATAATTGAGGTATGAGAAACAGTTTATTGTATATGTAGTTAAACTTATAATAATACAAGAATAAAAAAAAACGGAAAACACAAAAAAAGAAAAATATAAAAAACGAATTATATTTTAGAAAGTATTATTTTATGAAAAACATAATTACAGTATTTTTAGTCCCGCTTTTTTACTATCTAATCAAAAAAGGTATTTTTAACTATCCATAATATAATACATAAATATGGCAACTACAGAAATACCAGAGAGTAAAGCAGATATATTTATAAAGTATATATTTATTTTTTTGGTTGGCACTTTTACTGTAGGTGTCGTCAAAAGTCTTACTAGTTGCTAATTAAGTAATGACACAGCTTAAGTAAAAACCAGCTCGGACAGTGTAGCGTGCCGCTTTGATCTTTTTACGCTCGGATTTGCGATTCGAAAGAGGAGGAACACTGGAGCGGCGAGCTCTCTCGCCAAAACCAATAGCCGCGTAAGCGCCAGTCAGCCCAGAGATGTATTCAAAAAAAATTTACACGTGACGTAAAAAATTATTCGACTGGTGCTAGAACATAATTTATAGTGTGACCAACGGATCTGTAGCTACGGGGTATCGGCAGGGGAATGCAGTTGTAAACAAAACACGCCCAATTTCATTCATAAAATAGGCATGGGCGTACGGTGTTATATGAAAATAATGTGTATCATAAATATAATACTCAGATTAATATTTTTTTTCAAAAAACTTTATGCTGTTTGAAATTAGGAGCTTTCGGTTTAACAAAAAATACATTATAGGAGAAATTTTTGATTGATGGTTGAATTTAATTGTCTGAAATAATTTAACGAATTTACATAATATATTTTCATTTAAGGAAAGTTCTTCAAAATTGTTCTGAAAAATTTTTTCAAAAAACTTTTATGCTGTTTGAATCGTTACTGTTGAGTTAGCAGATAAACACTAAAAGCTTTTATTAAAAACTCCCTTAAATATTTTGAATCATTTTATTATTGTGTTGTTAATATAATAGAAAAATTAATTACAGCTGGGGCGAGGAACCTTTGAGTTACACAGCAAAATAAAACACTAAATCAGGACAATACACCAAAACTTTTAATTTTACACTGGACGTGTTTCGCTAACCATGTCTGCCATCAGCAGATGATCAAGACAGAGTCTTGAGGTATATTTATTTATCGATGTGTACTAACTATATTTTTTCTATAATACATAATATTAAGATATAACTATTGACGTTCTAAATCTTGAAAATAGTTAACTTTGGAAGAAAACAAAACATAATTTTACTCATCAGTAGATCCAATATTGCCTATTACACCAGATATGGTATCGCTCCGCCAGCAGTTTTTAAAGGTTAGGTCATTGTCTACCCATATGTTTCATCAAATAGATAATACTTGGCTATATTTTCGAATTTCGCGTATATATTTATATCTCTCTCTGCAATATAATGGGCCGCTCCATTAATATTTATCTGTTATTTTGACATTTACGCCAAAAAAATTCATTTGATTTTAATAACCCCCTAAGCGTTTCCCTGCAAAAGGAAAATTCGATTCTTCCTGCAATTTTTGCAAAAGCTTTCTAATTCCTCACCACTTCGAAAAAGTCGTCGAGTTTTCGATAGCAGTCTCTCGTGGTCGTTTCTTTCCAGAGCTGGATATCATTTTATCGGGGTTAGTTTTCAGCCTTTTTTTTATCTTCTGTGTGAATCTTTTTATAGCCGATACGCTAACTCCGGTATAAAAAAACTCCGCTCAAGTTTACGTTTAAGCTGTCAACTAAAGCTCAACTTTTCTGTCATTTTCTTCATCGCAAACCTATTATGAACACAAAAATAAACCAAATGAGATTTCATCCACCTATTATTAACATATAAGAAATAAAATTAGCTATTATTTATGACGTAACTCGAAAGTGGGACGTAACTTTGAGGAATAGTGACAAAATTTGTTCGACGTAACTCGAAACGACGTAAATCGAGGACTGCCTGTACTTTCAAACTAAAGAACTGCCTTCCAACTTTTATTAACATATTTTAGTATGGACGGCTATACGTGCCTCCCGGCGCTAATTTTTTTCATAATAACTCTCATGTTATTATAGATTCTTTAAAGTCTTAATACACGTTTTATGCATCAAAATACCTATTTTGATCTACAATTTTAATAAGCCAACCAGTGGCGTCCATACGGGTTTTGCATTGAATATTTTTGAAGGAAAAGATGGTACGCCACAGACTTCTCTTAAAATAAAATTATTTTCAAAATCTTCATTCATTTCTAAACAATTTTCTACTCTTGGTTTTGATCGTCCGACGCACAGTTTTTGCTTAAAAATAAAAAGAAATTTTACTTCAGGGTACTTTTTACAGTATTACTACATCAAAGGAACACTCTTGTCTGACTATGTAGCGTCTTACCCTTAACAAATTTATTCATTTTAAAACACAAATATACGATCAAACTTGATATTAATAATTAAAAACTACGAACGAAATAAATTATAACAATATAACAAAATAATAAAAATTTTACTTAACTATCAAATATACGAAAAATATAGGAATAAAGTTTAGGATAACCGGTATAAAATAATAATAATAAAGTAATAATCATCAAAAAATTACACCGCCACTGGATATTTCAATAGTATTCAATATTCCTACTCTTTTCAGAAGAGACCGTGAAGTTGGGGATAAAGCAAGCGAATAGGAAAGGCGTAAAAGCCATGGCAACCGCGTGGTAACAAATCCTGTGACGTACTCTGGCCAATGATGTTCAATGAATAGGCGGCCATGCGCGGCGATGCCGGTTTGCCAATGATATCGTTAAAAAATCTTCAACTTTCATAATAAGCAGATTATACAGAATGAAAGAAATAAGTTATTTTAGAAAGTTTGCCATAGAATTTTGAACACCTTGTATGGTTTCAGATTACGATATTTATTGCAAAAGAAGTGAGACCAACTATAGTAATATACGTCAGAATATATGCTAAACACATTATATATAATAAAAATATATTAAATTTATAGTTCATGTCTGGCAATTTTGCAATTTTATAGATAAACGTGGCAATATCGATTTTTTTTCTCGCATTCCTTCCGTAGCTTCAGATCCGCTGGTCAAACAGTAGATACACGTTTTTTAAATTGTTGACTTTAAATAAATATGCATTCTCAAAGAAAAACATTTAAAAAACAAATTAATTAATTTATTTCTAGAAATAACAGCAAAATGAAATAGGTACATTGATTACTTATAGTTATTTACGAATGTTTCTAAATTAGGGAGCAAAGTTTTTGTTTGCTACATTTAAGTTCTTATTAATATTCTTTAAGGTATAATAAATTCTAACTTTTGCGTATAATTTTAACAAAAATACATTATAGGATAAATTTTGATTGATGGTTGAATTTAATTGTCTGAAATAATTTACATAATATATTTTCATTTAAGGAAAGTTCTTCAAAAATTGTTCTGAAAAAATTTAATTTTAATAAAAAACACTTTTTAAAATATAAGTTTTTATTTAAATACTATAATATTTAATATATATTTATATATATACATACATATATATATATATATATATATATATAATATATATATATATATATATATATATATACTAATATATCAATATATTTTTTTTTCGTTTCTTTGACCTATATACTATATATTTTCTTGTTTTCACTCTTGGTCTTTTATTTGTGAGTAGACATCAGGTATTGAAACGATAAAATACGTACGTGCTCTATAGTAAAGTGTAATGTCCAAAACAATTAAAAATAATAGTTAATATGTGTTATTGTGTTGTCCAGTTTAACAAATTTTAACTCTGTAAGAATCTACGTTCAAAGAGGCTTGAAAAAGACATATACTGTCGAAACGTCGAAAAATAATGAACAAAATCTTTCTTATATTGGACAAACTTTTCTGTTCTTAAGGCTGTTAGATAATGCGTACAAATAATGATGCCATTATCAGAACATGTGATGTATACATAAAAATAATTTTTAAAAACAATAATTTTATTGTGTATTGTTTTATTTTCATGCTTTAAAAAATAATAATGTATCTTACCGCACCTTATATATGCACGGTATAGTTAATAGTTACTTTCAATTTTACATTATTAAAATTTATGAAATACGTATATATATATATATATATATATATATATATATATATATATATATATATATATATATATATATATATATATATATATTGAAAGTAACTATTAACTATAATAATGCATATATAAGGTGCGGTAAGATGCTCATTATTATTTTTAAAGCATAAAAATAAAACAATACACAATAAAATTATATATAGCAAGGCATGCGTTAAAAGTAGTACCATGAAAAAAAGATCCAATTAATTTAATTTTACTTTTAATTGACTAATAATTAAAAAATATATATCTTTAAACGCTTCTGTTTGTATCAATTACTGTAGTATTTGTGTTTTTTAATACATAATATAAAAAAAGACGTGTTATAGAAACCACCTAGTTCGTCACAGTATGAAACACTCGTTAGAACCGTTTATATAATTAATTAAACATATAGTAGAAAAAGGCAATATTATTATGACAACGGAAATAAGCATTTTCTAAAAAACTTACGTTAAGTACAGCAAGATTGGTGTTTTTCTTAAACTGAGCACAGTTAGAATAAAAAGTAA